TATGGTCCTTCCGACCAAACGAACATGTCAACAATGACTCTTTGTATTTACATCATGTAATGTACTCTATAAGATGTACATCAAGCTAAGGCCTTCTCCCAAGGAAGGGCCTCATTTCTAATCGACTGGAAATACTAGTGGATTCGTTCGAACTGGGCTAGGCCCCGTGGTTTTTCCCCCTTTTTTACAGGGGTTCTCCACATAAAAATCTTGGTGTCTCATAAATGCTAGACCCTCTCTCCTTATCTGATTGCGTGCCGGATTTTCGTACAATGCTAAGACGTTAAATATGATATTTCTCTACCGCCGCGAATACTCCTGGACGCAACAATAGTGTATCTACAGATATTAGGATTTATAATTTTTAATGAGACCACCTCCTTTGTTAGCTACATTCAACTAGGGGTGTCAATATTTGACCTGACCCTAACCCGAACCGAGTAGGGTTCGGGTTAGGGATTTCAACCCGTTTGTAAAATCGGGTCGGGTTCGGGTTGACCTGAAAACCCGAAATCAACCCGATTTGACCCGTTTTTAATTAATTTAGGAGGGTTTTAATGGATTTTTATGAAATAAGTAAATGATATTTCAAAAAATTATAAACATTATTACACAAATTAAATTAATCTTGATTTATTTTAAATTAATTGAAATAAATCTTACCTTAATTTGATTTAGATTTAAATAAAAAATTTAATAAAATATATCTGAATCAGGTCGGGTTCGGGTTGACCTAGACCCGAAGCGGGTTGAGTTCAGGTTTTGAAAAACCGACCCGTTTGCAAAAGTGGGTCGGGTACGGATTGGGTTAAATAGTGTAGGATTAATTTTGGATTAAACCCGAACATGACCCGACCCAATTTTCACAGCCCTACTTGGACCCTCTAAAAAATAAATCAAAGCAATATCATTACTATTACAAACGAAGATAAAAAACTTTCATCATTGCGGATAAAGCAATCCTTCATTGCGGACGCATTTCCCAGGTCCACTCGCTGTAACGGCCAACGGCGACCGTCACTCCCCATCGTGAAAACCCAAGCCACCAAAAGGGTATTTCTGTCATTACAGGCTGTCCTCCGTCCCCGTTCAGATATCCATTTTCCACCTCCACCTAGCCCAGTCAAAGCACTCGGCCCCCTCGCCCTCTATCCAACGGCCGCGATGTGCCCGATCCTCCATAACGGTGCGATCACAGCGATGACACCGGTATTCCTCAGCGCGAACGTCGGCTCACGAGTTACCGACGACTCGCTACATGCTTCTCCACGCGTCTGTCCCCAGCCACTTCCTCGTCGATCGATCCCTTTTACAGGCCCCAACTTCGCCGTTCTTGTTTAGAAGCCATTTTAGGGCGTGTGATTGAAGAGAGAAAAGTTAGATCTGTTATGGAAAGGAAGAACGCCGAATCTGCTAGGCGGCCAAATCCCGCGATGCCGTATCGGGAAGATTGCTGGAGTGAAGGGGAGACATCGACGCTTGTTGACGCATGGGGTGACCGCTACCTCGAGCTCAACCGCGGGAATATCCGGCAGAAGCAGTGGCAGGAAGTTGCCGATGCCGTCAACGCCCGCCCGAGTGGCGGGCGGCGTCCCCCGCGCACGGACGTCCAGTGTAAGAACCGGATTGATACCCTGAAGAAGAAGTATAAGATCGAGAAGGCGAAGATATCTGACGGCGCCATCGCCAGCCAGTGGCCCTTCTACTCTCGCCTCGACATGCTTGTCGGGTCCTCCGTGCCGCCCATAAAACCAACCCCCTCGCCATCGCCGCCGCTCGCTTTGCCCCTTCCTACTTTCATCAGGAGGAGTTACTCAGCAGCTGCCGCTGCGGTGGCGGATGGGGACAGCGGGTCGTTGTCGAAGTCTTCGCGGTCGAGCATGGAGAGACGTATGTCGAGGGAGCGGAAGAGGAAGCGTGAGATTGGTGAGGGCGACGGGATGCGAGAACTTGCCCGGGGGATCGGGCGGTTGGCGGAAATCTACGAGAATTTGGAGGCCGAGAAACATCGGCAGATGATTGAGTTGGAGAAGCAGAGAATGGAATTCATTAAGGGTCTGGAGTTCCAACGCATGCAAATGTTTGTTGATACACAGGTCCAGCTAGCGAAAATCAAGCGCACCAGGCGTAGTGATGCTGGTGAGATGGGTCTTTCTATAGCTTTTCCTTCTTTATTGCAGCTCCTTGTACTGAGTATGTCATGATTGGATGCATTTGTTTGGAGATCTTTGGTTACAGGCCGTTCTAGATCTAGGCACGGTTATGCCTGATTTAATTTGGGTACTTTCTCTTATCTTCCTTCGTGTTCATCTGTCTGGTGATGATGTTTCTGTTTATAAAAATTCAATCTACTATTGCTTGTTTTTGTATTTGCTGACACTTCGAACAATTCTATTTTAATATTGGTTTAGTGTTCCACGCATATACTTTGGATTTTGGATGAATATCCCCTTTTTTGCTACCATGCTTTGTGTTTTTTTGTTGCAAGTTGCAACTAACAACCAAGTATATAATAGCTTTTAACTCAACCTGTTCGGCGTTCTGGGATTTCCTTTAAATAAATCTTTCATACGACGAAGGGTCACCACAAAGGATTTTAATCGTGATTTAGAAAATGGAGTTGCTTTAGTTAGGGCCATAAACATTGAGATTTTGCTACTTTGCTACTAAGGCGGTTTTTGGATTTTAGTTTATGAGGAAGAGATTTGAATCCTACTAAGTAATAGCCGAATCATTTGGTTGACTATGAAGAACTAAGTGTTTCAGATGCCTTGGTTGAGGTTTTGCTACATTGCTCTTGGGAAATGGGAAGCTTTTATGTAAGGGCATCTCCAACCGAAGTCCAAACCCTTGAATGACGTCGCTCGTGAGCTCCAGCCGAACACTAAAACTTCCGCTATTTGGTTGCGGGTGAACAGTGGGACGCCAATATTGGCGTTGCACTGTTAATCTCCGCTATTTTTTTTGTCTCTACCGAACTTGCCGAATATACACGCCAAAAAAGAGAACGACCGTTACCTTCACAAAAGGGGGTAAAATGGAGTTTGGTCGCAGACGAATCACAACATTTTTTAGTGTCACGGTATTTTGGAGTGAAAAATGAGATTTTTGGTTGGAGATGCCCTAAGGAAGTTTGGTAGTTCGGATATCAAGCTTAGAAAATCTTATTTTGTTACTTGATCATATTGCTTTACCTTCTCCATGAATATGTGAAGAGTAAAAGGGTGATCAAACTTGCTAGGGTTCATTTCCAGTGCATTTTGTTTTCTTTGCCTTAATAGTTTATGATGGATTCTTGCACTTGAATTCATTTGACGATCGAGTAAAAGGGTCTGAGTAAAAAGGCTGATGTATGTGGGTGGGTCGAAGTATATGCTATTATTAGTAATAATTTCTTGTGGGAGTTAGGGAAATTCCTGGTGCTCGCTTAGTCAGCTTGAATAATGTGTCTAAAACATGGTATTTCTTCCAGACATTGCTTTCAAGCATAGTATATTATGCATTCAGTTAGAAACAACTGTTACGGCATCATAGTTGACATCCCCACTAAATTTAGAGAAATTATTACGTGTGGCCATTAGACGTCGTCCAGCGGCGAATCAGGATGCAGTAACATTACCATTTGCTGTGTATCGGTGCTGTGTACCACTATGTACCAGAGTGATATGGCGCATCTTGATTCGCCTTTGAACCGTCCGGTGACTGCACATAATAATTTCTCCTAAATGTAAAGTCCTCTTTATAGTTCATCTATGATGCACCGACACTTCGTTTTAAGAGGCAGTGCAGTGTCGGACACGTGTCGGACACGGACACGCGCCCGACACGGCGGGGACACATGTCCGACACGGTTTGAGCGTGTCCAGAATTCTTTTTGAAAAACTTAAGTCGGACACGCGTGTCGGACATGCGTGTCCGGCTATTTCATATTTTAAATTAAAAAAAAAAAACACTTAAAGCACCGGTTCACTCCCTATTCCGCCCTAATCCCATTTCCGTTGTTTGCTTCCATTCGAGCGAAAGGAGCAGCCGCACACGCGACTCGCGAGCAGCCGCACCCCACCCACGCACCGGCGAGGTTCTTCCCGCACCATCGCCGCACTCGCGACCATACGTCGAGGTTCTTCCTTCTCCGTGCTGTCGAGGTTCTTCCGCCGCACCCGCGACTCGCGAGCAGTCGCACCCCACACCCGCGCACCGGCGAGGTTCTTCTCGCACCGTCGCCGCACTCGCGAGCAGCCGTCAAGGTTCTTCCTTCTTCGTGCTGTCGAGGTTCTTCCACCGCACTCGCGAGCAACCATCGGCCCTAAAAAAAAAAGAAATTTACTGTAAGTTAGATTTCTTTTTTTTTTTTTTTGCTTTTGGTTCATATGATTGTGTTTAAATGCTGAAATTTCTTTTGATCAAATCCTGCTAAAAAAAAAATTAACAATGGTTGAATGTAAAACATATTATGTCCTAGTTCCTATTTTTTGGGAGTTGCATCAATTAGTTGCAGATTAGATAGATTTAGCCTTTCTATTTAGGTTTTACTTCATAATGGCACCCTTTAACATTATTTGCATTGCCAATATTTACTTGTAATATCATTATTTTAAATTTGTAGAAACTTTCTGTGGCAAATCCTGAACTTCCGTTGGTGGTCTTTAATTCCCATGAACTCTCTATTTACATCTAATTTTATTCTTATGGTATAGTTATGTAGGGAAGAAAGATAAGCTAAACAAGTTATCCTGACTTTGATTTAATATTGCTTGCCATTTTTAATATAATATTACCTTAATTTATATATATTATATTTAAAATTATTATGCCGTGTCCACGCTGCACCCGTGTCCTATATTTTTAAAAAATGCCGTGTCCCGTGTCCGTGTCATGTCGTGTCCGTGTCGCCGTGTCCGTGCATCTTAGTAGTTCATTCATATCATACAACTTCAGCATTTTTGTGCTGTTCTGCCAGTTGACATTTTCTTTCTTTTCTCACTAAGCAGTTGATGTGATAAAGTGGTCTCATGGCATTAATTTTTATGTCAGTCTATATTTCATGATTTTGGTTTGTTTTATTGTGTCTTCTCCTTGACTTACATCATCTCTTTCTTGGAAATCCAAATGGATTATTGCTTAATCATGTCATCACTGAGCTAACTCTTCTATATTAGCTTTAGTGTAGTAATAATTATTTATGTTGTGTTTTTCTCTGGTCTCAAATATAGCAGGATTAGATGAAGCAATGTTGGGATATTTTTATTTTTCAAATTTTAAGATTTTGTATGTGATAATTTTTATGTCTAATTATTCTTCTGAAAGGCATTTGATTTTTTGTATTAAATTTAATTCTCTTACTACTTTAGGACCTTAGTAAATTTCCTATTCTTGTTGTCTAGGCTAGAGAAAATTTAGTGATGGTGACCCGTTTTTGCAATTCTTGATTTTAGGTGCTTTTGAAGCCTTGAGTTTTCTTTTTTAGCTCTTTTTTCCTTTTAAGTAGCAGGACTAATTAGTAATTAATTTGTATGGAAATGTTAGTGTTGTTAGTAATTATCATTTATCTCTATCAGATTTAGAATTTGTTTGGGATGACTGCGACATTTTATATATTGGGTTGTTGAGTTGCTGAAGTAACTTAGCTATTTTTAGGCTTCGTTTGGGACGGCTTTTTTACTGCTTCTTAAAATAGTTTTTTAGTGCAAAAGATGCTTTAGAATACAATAAGAAAGTTGTCCCAAATGAAGCCTTAGGCTTCGTTTGGGGCCGGCTTTTTTTCTGCTTCTTAAAACAACTTTTTAATATAATTTTTTTAATTTTTGCACTAAAAAGTTGCATTATGAATCAGTAAGAAAGCCGTCCCAAACGAAGACTTAGGTTTCGTTTGGGACGGCTTTTTTATTGCTTTCTAAAACGGAGTTTTAGTACAAAAGATGCTTTAGAATGCAATAAGAAAGTTGTCCCAAATGAAGCCTTAGGCTTCGTTTCAAAAAGCAGCTTTCCACCTCACAGAAATATTTGAAAAGCAATGAGAAAGTAATAGCCAAGTGAACACATGGCTCTCTCCCTACTGCCAATCTATAATTGCCTTGAATAATTTTATTCATATGTATAATTGGATTATATATTTTAAAAATTTCAGATTAAGCTCTGAATTACAAGCATATAATTTATAACAGTAATTTAATTAATAAATTAATAGAGATGAATTACGTTACTTTCAATGATTTTGGTTATTACAGATTTTCAATTTTGGTCATAGATATTTTTTAAATTTTAACTACATCTAGATATAAAAAAAAAATGCAAAAAAGATAGGAAATAATAGACCTTTTTGTTATTTATAAATAATTTTGGATTACATATGCGATTGGAGAATAATGACTGCATTTTGGAGTGGAAAATGGGTTTCTAGGCTGCAGATGCCCTAATGGTCGAGATCCAAGTTCTACATATAAATTACCAAAGTGAAATCCGCATTCCCGAAGATCTTAATGCGATCTTTCTCTTGACTTTGGCTTTGTTTGGGATTGTTTTTTACTGCTTAAAGCAGTAAGAAATTTGTCACAGACGAAACTTTTATCCCTTTTGAATCTTAAGCTAATCCTCTCATGCCGACTCTCTCAAAGATTTTTGATCAAAGGTTTAGCCTTTCGCTCTTGAGAGTTGCCTCCCTTCACAAAATAGTAGTATACGTTGTTTAAGGTTTCGTTTGGCGATTTTTTATTGCTTTTTAAAACTGTTTCTTAATTAAAAAAAAAATTTTGTACTAAAAAATTGCTTTAAGAAGCAGTAAAAAACCGTCCCAAACGAAGCGTTTGATAGCTTTCTTACAGCTTCTTAAAACATCTTTATAATAAAAAAAATTTAATTTTTTAAGTAAAAAAATGCTTTAATTTTTGTATTAGAAAGCAACTTTAATTTTTATATTAGAAATTTGCTTTAAGAAGCTGTAAGAAAGCCGTCCCATTTGTGATAACTTTTTACTGCTTTTTAAAGTAGTTTTTAAGTACAAATTTTTTAAATTAGAAATTTTTGTAATGTTTTAGAAATCAAGAAGAAAGCTGTTCCAAATAAAATCTAAATGAAACTATGATTGCGTTTGAAAAATAAAGTAGCGATCTGCCTCAAACAAAATTTTAATTATTGCAAAGTTGTGATTGATTATATCAAATTAATATTCTTGTACTCAACATATCCATTAAAATCTGTTTACATATCAAAGTTTAGTTAATATAAAGAATTAATTAAAAAATAATAATATTTATTAGCAGATTTTACTATTTTAAGAACGTTAAATTTTAATTTAAAATACTCAAGGGAAAAAAAGAGTGTCTCACTCTCATCTTCTGAACTTTATTTGGTCCGGTCACCTGACGTAGCTCTACGTTCGAACGCCAGTAAAATAGTGCCATGTGTTCTCACTATTTACTGCGCGGCCCGACAACCCCGACCCGAAACAGAGACGGGATTGCTATGTTCGCGTGTTGCTAGGTATTGCTCGGTATTGGTCGATTTTGCTCGACAATAACGAGAAGTACAATTCTGTGAAGACCAATACCGCGCAATATCAGGCAATACTGAGAAATACCGAGAAAAACTCTCAGTATTGGTCTTCACAGAGCGATATTTTTTATTATTGCCAAGCAATACCTAGCAATACGGGAACATAGCAATCCCGGGTCAAGTCGTCGGGCCGCGCGGTATTAAGTAAGACCACGTGGCGATATGTTATTGGCTTTCGAACGTAGAGCTACGTTAAGTCACCTGACCTAATAATTGTTCCATCTTCAAAGCCAAACATATGTGAAGTGCATAATTGAAAAATGATTTTGAAAATTTATATAATATATCTAATATAATCCATGTATGTTCTTTTTTATTAGTTATTTAAATATAAAATTGATTACTATAAAATCAATCTAGTTAAATATTATTTAATTTAATGACTGGATTTTAAATGTTATAATTTATAAATTGAATGCGAAATGTTAGAATATTAATTAAAGTTAATATCAATTTAAAATTAATTTTAATCATTCAATGTATTAATTTATCTTTCTAATTTGAAAATTGAGCCAATGTGCTCTAAATTAAATCATTAATATCCTTACAAAAAATATTCTAAATATGAATTAAAATGACTGATTATTTTTAAGAAAAAAAATGTATATAATCTTAAATTTTATCTAAAAAATAATCTTATCCGATTATTATAATATTATTTTTCTTATTTTAATGAATTTAAATACATTATTATATGTGCATTATATTAAAGTGAGGTTGTTACATCTTTAATATAATATAATAATATTTTTTTATTTAACTTATAATTATAAAATAATTCAAATTTAAATTTATTATCTATTAATCCAATTAAAAATAAGTTCTAAGATTTTTTTATAGGATTTATGTATAATTGAATTTCTATACCATAGTACTTATATTTATTTTATGTGAATAATATGAAAAAGTTATGAATACTAATTCTTCTAAAATGCAATAAATATTATATTATATATATAAATATAATTTAAAATATACATTTATAAATAAATAAAATTTAATAATATTCATGTAAATTTTTTTAAAAAATGTGGGGAACGATAACGGCAGTCCGTCCCCGAAAACTGGGAGATCCGTTTGCACACTTTTTATAGGGGTGTCAATTCGGGTCAACGGGTTGGGTTCGGGTCAACCCGAACTCGAGTCAACCCGTCCCGACACGAGTGACCCATAGTTGACCTAAAATTGCTAGTTTTTGGGTCAAAAATCGAGTCAATCGTTTATTTTCAGGTCAAAATCAAGTCAAAAACGGGTTAATCTCGGATTTCCGAGTCAAATAGGAGTTTTCGTGGCAATTTCGGGTCATTTTCGGGTTGTTGGGACAGCCCGAACCCGATCCGATTTTTAAAATGGGTTGATTTGTTGAACTCGAACCCGATCCGTTTTGGCTCCGGGTTGACCCTAACCAGAATTTTTTCGGATCAAATTCGGATCGTATCAAAAATTGACACCCCTAACTTTTTAGCTTGTAGCAGGAGGATCCTGCATCCTTAAATTTTTATTTTTATTTTTTTTCCAACGAGATCGAGAAAAAGTGAAAAACCTTAATAAAAGAATGCAGGGGAAAGCCCTACCGTTTTTCTCCAGTTGTTGTCCTGATTACCCTCAGAACACTTCCAAAATCTTTTCTTTTGTTTTCTTCGTCACTTATAGCTGTCAAACCTCTCTTTCGACTTCTGAGCTGCTCCCTTTATTTCTTCCGGTTTTTACGGTTTCAGCTTTACTTTCCCTGTTCTTCCACCAAACTGTTCTCGTCTCTGGTCCCGCCGCTATTCGCCCTTCTCTGGTTTTTGTCCGATGGAAATCTCCTCCCTTGAATCTCTCAGCAGATCCTTGCATTTGAGAAGAGAGGGTCGAGATAGTGGGCTTCCGTGCGAGGAGAAATACTTACCTTTCATCTTCCTGTTCGTTTTGTATCGTGAACCCTAACTTTGCAACAGGGTTCTTGTTATAGAATGGAGTTTGGGGAAGGAGGAGGCGGTGGATCGCCTCGTGTTGCCGTAGATGGTGTTCCTAAGCAGCAAGCAAAGAGGAAGATGAAGACTCCCTCTCAAATAGATGTTCTTGAGAAGGCTTATACTGGTTTGTGGATTCTTTACTTACTACCCTTTAGTCAAAGTTCCAGATTTGGTTACTATAAATTTATTTTGATGCGAACAGTTTCGTCGAGGTTGTCGGAGCAGATGAGGCAGGAGCTGGCCCAGAAGACAGAACTATCATCCCGGGAGATATCAATGTGGTTTGCGAACAAGAGGTTTCAGGGGAAACAGGCCCATTTGCCCAGGGAGCCTAAAAAGGAGGAGTTCAGTCCACTCCCACTTCACTCTAGCCCTAATGGCGGTGGAAGCGGATTTGTGTTAGCTGCTTGCCATTTCATGGATTCCGACACAAACGAATCATCGATTAGAGAAGTGTGTAGTAAGCTTACCCGACCAAAGCCGGCAGCTCCACAGCTCAAAAAGAAGACTCAATTGCAGCATATGATGTCACAACAGCAGCCATCACATGAGGCATTGGATCCTTTGGTGCTGACTTTTATGGAGAGGAAGTTGGGAGGAAGGCTAAGAGAGGATGGTCCACTTGTTGGAGTAAATTTTGATCCTCTGCCGCCTGGTGCATTTGGATCCCCATTGTGTGGTGGCAATGGTATTTAATATTTTCTGCAATTCCCAGGCATTTTTTGACTGAACTTTTATGGTAATTGGGCTTTTCTATTTCTGCGGAGAATTATCAATCATATGTTGAAATGCATCTTATTGTGGTTTGGAGCATTGTGTTATATGGAATATATTATGTTAAGGCCATCTTTGGACATCATGCCATTGGTGGCATATGCCCACTTAAGATCTAGTTAATTTAGGCTTCGTTTGGGATGGATTTCTTACTGCTTCTTAAAGCAGCTTTCTAGTACAAATATTTTAATTTTTGTACTACAAAGCTGCTTTAAGAAGCATTAAAAAAGCCGTCTCAAACGAAGCCTTAACTCATGATTATTATACAAAAAATGCCAAGCACTGTGTTGTCTTGAATTTGAATACTTTCATTAGGGTTGCCTCTTTTAGTTTTGACTTTTAAGTCAACACATATTTACCCATATGTGGTGTCTATAGTATGTATGGCTTTCTGGTCCTTAATGTTGAATTTTGAACTGTAGATTAAGTATTATTTTTTATTTAGAAGTTCATATAGAAATAGTTGAAAAGTTAGCAGTTTGATTTATTCTTTGCGTGATCGATTGTTTTTGAGGTTGTTTTTGAAAATACTAGGCACTAGCAGAATAAATTTGCTGCTTTATTTTACAATTTGATTGGATGGAAGTAACGTAGCTTGGGGGAAGGAAGGAATGGATGGGCTTTATTGAAAGTAGTGCTTCAAATAGGTTGTTATAAGGCTTAGGTTTTATTTATCTTTTATCATTTTTCTTGAGTAAGACTTTAACCATATGCATACTGAATCTATGCTTGTTTGACTTAATATAGATAGGATCATAAAAAATACACACATGTACAAAAGCAATAACATACATGCACAAAAGCAATAACATACATGATGCATACAGACGCACTTGCTTCCACCCACGCACTTAGAGATGTTCATATGCACAATTCATTGCCATTTCACTCTACACAATCAAACTTGTACATATACAAGAATGCATACTTATATAGATTGCTAGATCCATATATTAATCCATACTAAACTTAATTATATGCACTAACATGCATTATGGAGTTGATCAATGTGTTATTCTGACATAATTCTACTTACGTTTTGCTAAGTTCTTTTCACTTGATTTATTAAAAGCATCACTCGACTATAAAGATTCTCTACTTTTGAAATTATTGTTGATTGATTTTCATCTTTGATCGTTATTTTCTACTCAATAAGCTGCGCTTCCATCAAATATTTTTTTCCCCAAAAATGTGGCATGAATTGTAGATGTTAGATATTGGCGTGAATGACTCCTCATCATCAGCCTTAGCGGGATGGTTGGAGGCCAGCTGTAGGGATTATTGGTCTACATTCAATCCTTTAAAGATAATAGGGTGCCGATTTATTTATTTTTTAATAATTGGGAACTTCTTCTGGGCATTTTTAGTAAAGCTGATGCGGACATCAAACCGTCCATGCCTATCCGAGGGGAGCTGAGATCGACGCACGTGATCGTCTTACATTATCTTAAATTTTTATTTGTAATTTTTATTTTAATTATGCATTTTTCATTATTACCCTTAATGGTCTAATCTTATGTAAGCCCTAGGGGCATAATCATCTTATTTTAGTTTATTTTATTTCTGAGGCCTATATATAGAGGCCCTTGTTAGTGTAATGGTATGATGTAGTTTTAATAAAAATTTTGTTATGCAATTTTATTCCTTGGGTGGACTTAGATGAGATTCCTATGGGAGGGAATCGTAGTTTCCACCAGCCGCAGGATAGGTTCGGGCGCGTGGCTTGAAGTCCCTTGGTGAAGGGCAACACATCATCCGTCAGCCGCATGAAGTGTCCGGGCTCACGGCTTATTTTATTTCTCTAATCCCCCACCTCCTCCTTTAACCGCCGGCTAAATCTTCCCCTAGCCGTCGGCATTCTACCTCCCATCCTCTTCCCCACCACCGGCCGCTCACCCCCTTTTCTTTTCAACCGTTGGCCACCACCCTCCCCTTCTTCCAACTGCTGGTCTCCTCTCCATGTCCACCACAAACTGCCACCTTTGGGTTTCCGAAAACCCTAGCCGTCGACGCCTTGAATCCAAAGTGGTCCTTTCCTTTGCTACTTCCCAAAGTTAGGTTATGAAGATTGAGAGGGAAAATAATTCAAATTCTTATTTCAAATTCAAATTTGAAATCTTTCCTAATTTAGCATGATCTTTATTTGAAATGTTTTAAACCATTCGATTTAAATTTCAAATTTAAATTTAGAGGAAATTGGAGTAATCAATTCCTCCTAATTTAATTAGCCTTATTCAGGAAACCCCATTAAACCTTCCCCTAACCCTCCTCTTTGAAGCTGCTGACCCCCTTCCTCTCTCCCTCCATTCAACTAATTTCTTTCCCCTTATTGCTCCCCAATTATAACTCCCATCTCTTTATTTTGAAGTTTAAATTTTGAAAGGTCTTTAATCCTTTTCCTAATTTAAGATTTTAATCAAAGAATCATTTAATTACCCCATTATCATCTTCCTAATTTAGCTCTATCTTATTTGGAAAGATTTCGTAATTCATATTCAAATGAATTTGAATTTTAAATCTTTCCTAAATATCCTACACCTATTTTAAGAAATTCCCCTCAATTAGTGCAAATATGAATTAAATGATTGGATTTGAATTTAATTCTCCCTATTCAATGTATGTGGACACATACATTGAATGTGGACAATTCTCCCTCTCCCTATCTCTTTGGCCGACCCCCATCCCTCCCTTCTCCAATTAATTTGAAATTTAAAAGTTCACATGACACCCCCCTCCCGTTCTATATAAGTTTGGTATTAGAGCATGGTTACCCGGGATGCGGGCTCGACTGAGTCGAGCTTTTTTCCACCCTGGGAGAATGAGGCAGACATCCAACCATCCATGCCTATCTGAGGAGCTGAAGATCGACGACCATGATCATCCTACGTTATCTTAAATTTCTATTTGTAATGTTTATTTTAATTATGCATTTTTCGTTTTTACCCTTAAGGGCCTAATCTTATGTAAGCCCTTGGGGTATGATCGTCTTATTTTAGTTTCTTTTATTTTTTAGGCCTACATATAGAGGCCCTTGCTTGTGTAATGGTAGGATGGAGTTTTAATAAAAAATTTTGTTTTGCACTTTTGTTCCTTGGGAGGACTTAAGTGAGATCCCTATGAGAGGGAATCATAGTTTCCACCAGCCGCAGGATGAGTCCGGGCTCGTGGCTTAAAGTTCCTTGGTGAAGGGCAATACATCACCCATCAGCCGTAGGAAGTGTCCGGGCACACGGTTTATTTTATTTCTCTAATACCCCACCTCCTCCTTTAATCGCCAGCTAAATCTTCCCCTAGTCGCTGGCATTCTACCTCCCATCCTCTTCCCCACCACCGGCCACCCACCCACTTTTTTTTTTCAACTGTCGGCTACCACCCTCTCATTCTTCCAACCGCCAATCTCCTCCCCATCTCCACTACAAACCACCACCTTTGGGTTTCTCAAAACCCTAGCCGTCGGCCCCTTGAATCCAAAGTGGTCCTTGCCTTTGCCACTTCCCAAAGTTAGGTTATGAAGATTGGGAGCGAAAAAATTCAAATTATGATTTCAAATTCATATTTGAAATCTTTCCTAATTTGACATGATCTATATTTGGAAAGTTTTAAACCATTCGATTCAAAATTCAAATTTAAATTAAGGGAAATGTGAGTCATCAATTCCTCCTAATTTAATTAGCCTTATTTAGGAAACCTCATTAAACATTTTCCTAACCCTCCTCTCTTTGAAGCCGCCGGCCCCCTCCCTCTTTCTCCCTCCATTCAATTAATTTCTTTCTCCTTTATTGCTCCCCAATTAACTCCCATCTCTTCATTTTGAAGTTTAAATTTTGAAAGGTCTTTAATCCCTTTCCTAATTTAAGATTCTAATTAAAGAATCATTCGATTACCCCATTATCATCTTCCTAATTTAGCCCTATCTTATTTGGAAAGATTTCATAATTCATATTCAAATGAATTTGAATTTTAAAATTTTCATAAATATCCTACACCTATTTTAGGAAATTCTCCTCAATTAGTGCAAATTTAAATTAAATGATTGGATTTGAATTTAATTCCCCCTATTCAATGTATGTGGACTCATACATCGAATGTGGACAATTCTCCCTCTCTCCTCTTTCTTTGGCTAAACCCATCCCTCCCTTCTCCAATTAATTTGAAATTTAAAAGTTCACATGACACCCCCCTCCCGTTCTACATCAAAAGCTAACTCATTTAGCTTCCAAGATGTTCTTTAGTATCTCCACTGCTGTGCTTTTTCTGTTTCTTAAATTGTTAACAGAGAATAGTTTCGCTAATGTATGAGCAACATGCATGCTTCTGTATTTTGTAGTTTGAACTGAAACGCCTTGAATTACAACTTAAGTAAAATACCATCCATAATACGTTGAATCTGACCTAACTATAAGCAACTCACTGTGAGTCACGAATATATTCATAGCATATTCTTTATGCCTTTTTTTGTTTTGTTTTAATTTCTTTCGTGGAACCTACCATGAAATAGTTATATTAGAAAAGCATTGAGATGCTATGCTGCTGTATGATTTTACAAGCTCTTTGAAGATTTCACTTTTGTACTCTTTCCAGCCAAACCATTACTTATCCTGTAGCTGGTCAATTTGAATTGCCATTCACAGCCTTAAATGAGTAGTAATCTTGGCTGTGTTAAACTCTTTCTCAAGCAGAAACGGTGAGGAAGCTAAAACAGCCAACTCGAGCTCCAAAAGGCAAATCTATTTTGAAACAGAATGCGGGATCCAGTAAGGTACTTATTTAATTAGCCACTTGTTTTTCTTGTTCTTGATCTTTATGGGTAATTAGGTTAGCTGTTTCATGCTTCTTGTGTTCATTTAGTACTCCATACAATGTCAGTGATATGTTTTTTTATTTACTGCATCAGACATAAGACAAAAAAAAAAAAGTCTTATTGGGTTTTTAGTATACATTGGACTTGAATGCCTCAAATTTCTCTTAAAAAAACCTTCCATTTCGGATTCTAAGCTGGAATAAGAAAGGTTGAGGGCCAATGTTTGGTCAAGAACTAGTCACATACATTTTGTCAAAATTAACGAAATAGATTTAATTTTAAACCGTGTTAGTACTAATGTGTAGTCTAAAAGTTAGTTAGTTGTGGAGCTTAATTTTTTGCATTATGAAGAAATACATTACACATACTTGGTATTATTTTTATATTTTAAAAAAAATGTATAAAAAATGAATAAGTATAATATTAAAATAATTTAGAAATAATAAGACATTTAAGGTTAAAATAATTAATATTGGGGTATCGAGAGTCGGGCTTCGATGCCGTGTATCAGGCATCGAGAGAGGAGACGATAATGCTGTTGAGAGTCGGGCATAGATGTTATGCAGTAAGTAACTAAGTATCAGACACTTGTCATTGATGTTGAGAGGGTGTTGGTCGTCAATGTTAAAAAGATGTCAGACAAAGATGAGCTGTCAAGTTATGGGTGTAGAAATTGCTGGCGTTGAGCATCAATTTCAGTAAAAGCCATAAGACTTATCCAAATATCTAATGTTTGGGAAACTTCTAAATGAAGTAACAGTTCTCAAAATCAAATTACCGGACAACTTCTAAACAAAGACGTAGCCCCAAACTAAACCAAATTTTCGGGCAACTCCTAAATGGAGCCATAAGCCCCATCATAAATAAAAAATATGTGCAACCCGTAAGTGGAGTCGTAAGCCCCGATCTTAATCAAACATACGGGCAACTGCTAAGTGGAGCGGTAAGCCCCGACCTAAATCAAACATACGGGCAACTCCTAAGTGGAGTCGTTAGTCTCATCCTAAACTAAACCCTCGGACAACTTCCAAGGGAAGCCGTAAGCCCCAAACTAAACCAAATTACCTGACAACTTCTAAGGAACTTATAAACTCTATTCTAAACCAACATAACGGGCAACTCCTAAGTGGAGTTGCAAGCCTTGAACCAAACTAAACAAACGTGCAACTTCTAAATGGAGTCGTAAGCCCTGACCTAAATCAATCTACTGGCAACTCCTAAGTGGAGCTGTAAGCTCCATCCTAAACTAAACTCCCGGGCAACTTCCAAGGGGAGCCATAAGCCCCAAACTAAACCAAATTATCGGGCAACATCCAAGGAAAGCCGCAAGCCCTATCCTAAACCAACATAACATACAATTCCTAAAAGAAGCCATAAGCCCCAAACTTAAATAAAAAATCAAAATCAATCTCTAACCACCGCAGCCTATTCGGGATCCCTGAGAGGAGGCAACCTATGACTGCTAATTAGAGTCCCTGGACGCTACAACTAATGGTTTGTTAACGTTGGTTGATCGAGATTTACAGTATTCTCGAGATGACGAAACCATGGGATCTTAATCGGGTCTACCTCCATCTCCCACAAATGAGACGAACTTAAAATTTCTAAGTTATACTAAAGTGATTCATCCTTAATTGAGTGTTCTCTCCTACAAAGTAGGATGATAACTATGAGAGCTTGCGCTCACAGGAAGTAGACCTTGATCTAAATAAACCATGATACATGCATCGGGGGAAATTTGGTTAACTAAAAATCAATCTACCTTAAGGAGAACGGAATTCTAAGTCTGAAAAGCAGGATTCATGCATAAGCGCCATTTTTCTTAAGCAAATAAAATCATACAAACCAATCTAATACTAGGAAAAAATCTAATAGAGAGCGCATGTTCTTCTTATTATCTATTCATCTCCTGCATGCTCCATAAATAGAAATTGACAATTACAAAATAAAATAAAATAAAATAAACTATCAAATTAAATCAGATAAACTTTGCTCGAATTTTTGATTGAAGCGATGCTTCTGATGACAAACAAATAATACAATTCAAAATGAGAATGGATAGACCTAAGGTAAGCTCGATAGAATCTATTGAAAATGATTTGTGAAGAATGTGTTTAACTCCTTATGTATCAAATAAAATATGAGTATTCATAAAGCTAAATTTTAAATAATTGGGATGTGGCGAATGCTGCTGTTGATGATTATTTTTTATTTTCTAAATTTGTAATTTATTTATTGCAGGTGTCATCTGTATTCCAACGAACAGATTCTAGCTGTATGCAAAACCCAATTTGGAGAATGCCAATTGATGAAGTTGGTTCTTCAGTTAATCTTGATTCAGGTCTAGGAATATTGGCATCCCTTTCAATGAAGTTAGACATTTGTCAAGGATAGATAGAATCATTATTAATTCCCATCTTCATGAATTTTCAGTTCATAATCTTGGTAGTAAGTTGCCATGTTTTTCTTCTGGGAAGCAGCATCCTCAAAAAAAAGAAATGCATCCAAGCCATTCTCTTCAAGGTCAGATATCTCTAGCAGCCTTTGACTCAACAAGAGAGGTGGCTTCTTCTGATTTCAACAGTTTATGGTAGTTATCTACATCACTACACATTTTGCAGCAGATGCTCAATTTACCATTTACCCAGTCAATGATATTGTGGATAAATTTGTATTGACTGATACGCTGACCAATGATGTTACTTCTCAAATGGAGAGGCTACACAAGGTATATATGTGGTTCACTTAAACAACTCATGCTCTTTTATATCCATTATGTGCTTGCAACCAGCTTATGCTTTTTTATATCCATTATGTGCTTGCAACATTTACTACACAGAGTAAAGAGACTCAAACAACAGACAAAGTTGAAGTCTTGGATAGGTTGGTAGCATGTGAGAAACAATGTATTAAAAGAAAGGTGATTATATTTGTACTAAATATACATCTATCATTTACTTCCTTTATATAGAAGACTAAATCATTAAAGGTTTTTTTGCTAGAGTGAGGTGCAGGCACTGATTGACAAAGAGATGTATGATCATGAAAGGCACAATGGAGAAGCTGTTATTCTTGAAAGACGATCTAATGAGGTGACTTTGCAGTATGTTGATCAACCTGTCTGCTACAAAAAGGCACTGAATAAAGTAAACATGGAAGTAAGATATAATTTGATAGCAGAAATTCATTTAGAGGGTTCTTAATTTAATTTTAGTGATATAGTAGTTTTTAATATAGTGGTATTATTTAGGTAGTACTATTATTGAGATAATATTGTTTTTAACAGTACTAAATATTTTCAAGGCTTATCTTGGTTAATAATGCAAAACTATCTTGAAGAATCAATGATGGTTCTAGCCTTTCTTTTCTCGTGAGTCGTGTCTTTCACCTATGACAATTGAGACTATTAACGTTCATATTACTGTGTTGAAGATAGTAGCAAACCAAACATCTTTAATTGCTATTTTGATAACACTGTCATCTATATAACATTGAATCAAACAACCCCTTAGCACATATTTTAGTGGCAGATCAATTATGTACATAAATCTCTTATTGTATTTAGGAAGAGAAGGTGAGGCAACAAGAAGAACTGCAATTGGGGACAACTGCCATGGAGGAAGCTGTTAATAAAACATTTATAGCTCATGGAAATATCCAAGGGAACATGCAACTTATAGAGGATGAACAACTTGAATTGATGAAGCTAGCTGCGTCAAGTAAAGGCTTACCATCCATTAATTTACTTGACAATGATACTTTGGATACGCTTCATTCTTTCCAAGGTACATTTTTTTGTTTTGTGTTGTGTTGAGCTGTCTTGTAACAGATTGCATTTTGTTGTTTATGTGGTATTATGTCAAATAAAGTGATATCAATGCCAAGAAGCTTGAAATGATTTCTTGAATAATTTCAATTGTACTAACCTGTCATAAGTATTTATTTGTCCTATTATAGAAATATGTATAAACCAGTTCCTAATTTTTATGTTCTAACATTATTGATAGGTCCATTCAGTAAGTACTTATGGACCTGTTGTGATATGTGATACTTTTGTTTATTCTAATTTATGAATCATTCACTTTTTTAATACTATTTGTTGCTTTATTAGTTTATTTCTTTCAAATTTATACTTCAAGTTTCTGATATATTTTATGCATGTGCTTCAGATATGTTAGGTGCATTTCCTCCCGAATCAGTCTTAATGAAGAGGCCTTTTGCTGTTCCGCCGTGGACAGATTCTGATGAGAATGTTGGAAACCTGCTCATGGTATTGATTTCAGTGATAATTATTTTTAAATTTTATACAAGTTATACATTTTGCTTTTGGTGCTATTATCTTTTTCCGCCAATTAGCAAGCGGAATTTTTTTTAGGCAATGAATCGCTTTAATAAATTATGCATAAATCATATGAAAACAATTTGCTATTTTAGTGTAAGCTTCAAAACATTTTATGAAAATGTAATATGTTTATTTCCTAAACTTGTAAGCTCCATTGTTGAAGCTTATTTCTTTGTCAGTGAACCTTACAATTACTTATCATCTTTTTTATACTTAGTCCTTTTCTGGTGATCTACATGCGCCTAAGAATTTTACAAAAAATCATTTTCTAATTTTTGTTTGTATGGAGTTTCAGGTTTGGAAGTTCTTAGTTACTTTTGCTGGTGACTTTGGACTTTGGCCTTTCACCCTTGAAGAGTTTGCACAAGCTTTACATGATCAAGTGAGTGGATTATTTTTATGAGTCAAGTTTTTTTTAAAACAAAACATGATTTTTTTATATTAATGGGCTATTTAGGTGGATGTTTTTAAAATACATATATTTAGAAATATAGAGTAATTGAAATATATATATTTTAGAAATGCAAATGTTATTTTATTGGAAGCAAATCAAATGCCTGGAAAAATATTTGTGTTTGTTTGATTCATTTCAAATGCAATAATGGAAGTTCAAGTTGTGATCACGGATGGCAACAAGTGGTGGTGGGCCAACGATGGTTGTGGAGGTGGGTGATCGTAATATTGGTGGGCAACGATGGTGATGATGGGCAACAAGGTGGTTAGAAGCCTTGGGTGGGTGCGACTATATCGTGGGCAGATCTTTTTTTCCTGCAATTGGAATTTACTTGATTTGGATGAATTCCAAATTAGTTAGAAATGGGCATTTTGGGGTATTTTAAATGCTCCATATAAATACTTTTCTTTTGTTCTACACTCTTAATACTTGGAATACCCTTAAAAGGAAGAAAACTTACTAGAGGTTTCATATCTCTTTTTCTTTTGAAGTGTACACCACGAAAAGCAATAATGCTATTAATTGCATAAAACAAAAGAAAATGAGATTATAAAAGAAGAATAAAAATACTTGCACCCATGCCTAGCTTGCCTCACCCTGTCAGCGATATAATCCAAAACATCAGAAAGATTGAAAGCCAACACATAATCACCGCGATGTGAGTCACTCACTTGCTCTCTTTCTGGTTAAAACCTTGCACAACACATGCTTTGGTTTTACTCTCGCATGCCCAACTTTACCTAGACTCATTTCTCTTGATGTCCACTCGCCTTGATCATTTGATTTTGTTTTTTCCTAGCTCAAAGCGCCCCATATCTGACTCTACTTTGTTGCACAAAATAACCAGTGTCATCTCCTTCTCCAATAACTTGCCCCATCTTCCTCTAGACTTACATGCCCATGTCTCACCTTTGACATTGGTTTCCTTTGCATGAGATCTTCTCTCACATCTTCTCTATAATGATTTATTCCACACTCTATGCTTATATTGAAGCCTTCTTTTAATCATAATCATGAACTCACACGACCTCTCATGTGGATTTCTCTTGATTATGACTTGTCATTATCCTCAGCCAAAAAAAATTATTAGGGGGGCACAATTTAATAATTTTTAAAATACTCTTAATATTTTCTGAGTGATTTTTTTTTGCCTTTTCATTTAGTAGTTAATAGTGAAATAATATTTAATCTTCAAAAAATATCAATATTTATATTCAAAATTATTAAATTATACATTTTATTAGTTGTATTAGACATAAATATACGATTATCTTATTTCACTTTAAACACTTCGGTATTAGTTTTATTAAAAAAAGAAATTTATAAAATACATATAATTTTCTTTATATATATATATATATATTTATGATTTTAAGTGATATAAATTTTAGTTTTTTCTAATATAACTCTTATGAAAATTATATCATATATAAAAAGTTTATCATAAAGTTCCTTATTTTAATAATTATTTGAAAATATCTTCATAATGATCAAGACAAGAAATTAGGAATACTTTTATAATATTTTTTTGATAATTTAAGTTAAGTATAAAACAATAAGTTCTATATCAACAATTTTCGTCTATTGCAAAACAGATGAGAGCTCCTTTGTAAAGGAAACAAAGGATTATGAGGTGCCATTTTGATTGTAACTTAAAGCAATGTTATAAGTTGTTTTAGGCATTTTTTGATGGGCCAGTGGGTCTCTGGTACATCAGGGAAAAACTTGAAGCAATTATTTTTAATTGTTTTTGGCTTTCTTGAGGGGGCATTGGGGGCTCGTGCCATTAGGCCCCCCATTATAGCTCCGTCTATGTCCATATCCTCTAGTATTACACATAACTTGCACGATTGTCCCCAAAATCCCTATTGCATCATATCCCAAACCTTTTATAACGACGCAATTCCCTTGGTCGCGTGCACACTTTGTTTATTCTATTGGTATGGAGTATGGACAATGTTGGGTTGCTAAAAAATTCCCATGGTTTTTCGGGAATGTATCTTGCATGCTTTCCATGGCCCCCACGATTAGGGAAGGAACACTTGTGGGTTATCGTTGAGCCTACAACCAAACACCCATTCTGAAAATGAAGGATTTAACTAAATCAATCCTTCAAAAGAAGTAGACCATATATCCATAAATAAAGAAAAAAGAAGTAATTACTAAATCCCACTAAGTTGAGCATCACTATGGATAACCATTATATGATATGTTCCTCAATCAATTTATTTTAGTTGATCATTATTATGGTTAACCACTATAGGATATGTCCATTAATCAAATTATTTTCTCAAGCTGCCCACATTAAATCATTATAATGTTGCAATGAAATTATAAACAACATTTCAACTTCTTTCTATTGCATTGAAGGCAAATTAGCTTGTTCTTTATAGGATTATCTAAAAAATTTTAACCATGCAAGATTTACATATGATCAAAAGTTCCATCTTCTTATCTCCTAGTTGACAGGGTGAGTCTCTCATGATGCAAGGTTGTAAAACTCATACTTAAGGGTCATCCCAAGTTCAAGACAACAACATATAAGCTCATAAGTTCGAACCTAGGAGTCTTTCAAACAAATCAAGTAATTGATGAAAATACTAATTAAAGTTCAGAATGACCATCGACCCCATTTTGATCAAATTAAAAGAGCTGACACCACTATTTAGCTTGTTGAACAAAAATTAATCATATGAGCTATCTTGCCTTTAGGGTAAGTTCCTAAGATCTACTTTTGGGTTGGTTCTGATATCTGAGTCTTAAGTCCCATATTTGGACCCCAGCCTTGCAAGCAATTCACAAATAGATTAATAAGCTATAATTTTGAATAAAAAATTGGGGTAATTAATTATGGGGCTAAAATTGAGTTTTAGTGGCCATTTTCAATTGAGAGTGCTCTCCCATGAGCTAAAAGGATAACTAATAATGGGGGACATCACACATTGAAATTTTGGTTCCAGATTTAAGTAAACTTTGGTTTGAACATTAGGGGAGATATTGTTAAATCAAGTTTAGCCTATCTTATGAAAAGTGAACTCTTAAATTTAAAGAAGGGGTTAACATTCTTCCTAAGAATTGATATATATATATATATCGGCAAGGTGTGATTTCTTCAATAACCATTGTAGTACCTCTATCAATCCAAATTTGAATCTTCAGAAAGAGTGGTTCATTACTGAGCTATGCCATTTAGTGGGCCATGTTGGGTTATGTCTTTTGGCTTAGTTTGTAGCCTCCCTACACAATATATATATATATATATATATATATATTACGCAAGGCGTGTTTTCTTTAATAACCATTACAATTGTGACACCTAGAATCTCAATTCGAAAGAATTGTATTATTTATCATTTATAATAATACATAGATCTATCCAATTTCTTTTCAATAATATAAGTATCAATGGAAATAAATCTATTGATTAAAACATCAATATAAATTTGTATTCATTGGTCCAAAAAATTATATATAGTACCCATGAGAAATACAAATACATATAGTACCCATGAGAAATATAAATTTGTATTCATTGGTCCAAAAAATTATATATAGTACCCATGAGAAATACAAATACATAAACTCATCTTTTCACTCATGAGTACAAAATAATAGTAAAATTTGAGGAATCCTGTGACTAATCAGTCTCACACTCCCAATCCTCTTCTTCGACTTGAATTCATTTAAATTACATATAATGAACTAATAAGCCCTACATGTAACTAAAATCTTACAACTAAACTCAAAGAATGATAAAAAATTAGTATACATGTAATCATTCAATTAATAATAGCAACAATTAATATGATCATGAATATGTACAGAAATAATAAAACACATAATATATGATAAAATTTGTGAACCGGTAAATCACGAAGGCTAGCAAAATAGTGCAGTACGAAAATAGTAAAATCTTTAAACTAGTTAACCATTACGAATTTCAAATCAATAAAGCAATAAACAATCATTCTTTTTAATCATACGTCGTAGTAGTGTTATCAAATCAATAAATAAATCATATAAATCAATAAAATTGAAGCCTCTATGAAGACTATCATAATCAGTAGCAGTGCAATACTATCAAATTTGTATACACATGCTATTCAATTATTCTATATTAGTATCAAATCGGTATCTTATATTACATGCTCAGTAGTAGTAATCACATACTTAATAACAATAAGTTAGTAAACAGTAAATCAATAGCAGTAATAGTGGTAGTGAATCAATAACAGTAACATACGTAGCCGTAACAATGAAACGGTATAGTAATAGTAAACCAATACAGTGAACTCTAGCTTGCGCAGTGTATTTCCAATAAATCAGTAACCATTGGCTCAGTAACCCAGTCGTCACTTTTTGTCCGTCGGCACAATAACCATCTCCTTATAACTCCCAATTAATGAATCATGTAAATCGGTAGATGATAGCATCAAACCTAATTAAAGGAAAGTTTGTCAGCCCAACATCTTGTACAAGTCAGCGAGTCTTCAGCCAATGCAATAAATAACTAGCCTTTATTTATCTTCGCACATACTATTATTCCGATATAATAAAAGTAATAGCGGCCAACTATTACTTAACCACATGCCAACATTTATTCACAGTGCTTATATTAACAGTTAAATCAAATTAAAATGTCAAAATGACTATGCTTATTCAAATCGTACAAAATACAATAAGTTTCATTTTACTCGGTGAAATTTCAAAATCAACTAATCAAAATTTTCAGAATAATCAATGCTATAACATATAAAATATTACGCTGTGGAAGTTCACTAAATCTAGAGAAAATGCAATAAAATTATTTTTGGATTAAATTTAATAGTTGAAATCAAAATTTTTTAAAACAGAAATATGATAAGAGTCACCTACAATGATATGAGATATTTATGTAAAAATGGTGAAGCAAACCGACAGCTAAAAATGATGCTTTCTCTTTCCTCTCTCCTTCCTTTTTCTCATTCTCTTCTTTCCTTCCACGACAAACCACGGGTGAGTGAGGGAATGTAGCAAATGACATTTTAATATATTTAAAAACTCGTTTCAGTGCATGGCACCCAAGGAAGCCAGCGCTGCTGTGCTGCATGCTAAATCCATAATTATTGTACAATATAATCTTCAATATCGTGGCTATAATTTCTAGGGCCTCTGCTCTCTAAAGCACAACATCGCAGTGCCCACAGACACAACGTTGCGTGATCCAATTCATACAGAAATTCAGATTCTCATTTTAAATTTATTTTAATAATTTTCAAGTTGTTACAATAATACCTTTATCAATCCATATTTGAATCTTCAGAAAGGGTGCTTCATTACTAAGCTATGGCATTTGGTGGGCCATGTTGGGTTTATGACATTTGGTTTAGTTTGTAGCTGCCATACACCATGAATCATGGTTCTAATTACTCTTTTTACGAGTACTGTTATCGTGTGTCCTTGCACATGAAAGTACATGATTGTTGGATCCTATAGTGTTAATTCTTGTTGAACTTTTTGGATTGCTTCTCTCCTTTCACATGCATATTATTCTTCTTTAATAATACATGAAATACGCATACTTCTGTAGGTTGCCATGTCTGAACATTTAAACTTATATAGAATTGTTGGAAATACCTTCCATTTTAATATTTGAGTTCTCTTTACTTTTGGACATATATTGGTTGCACCTAAGATGGCTTGGTCATACATGTCTTGATGAATTGTTCCTAAAGTTCTTAGCCTTCACTTCATGTTAATGATACATTTTAATGCACATAATACTCTGCGCAAAAGATTGTGTGTGCAATGATCCGCCATCCTAGACCCTACTATTCAAGATTTTGTTTGCACCATTTTTTATGTTTGTTTTTTACTCCATTGTTCATGGTTATAGTTGGTATACCTCATTTTAAATGATGTTGCAATCCTTATAAAATCTATTTTTTGTGATTTCCTGTGAAATCCTAACATCTATTACATCTAGCTCATAAGCCAAACATCCCTTATGCTCAAATTATCCAATACAAGCCACTACAGTTTCAGAAATTTCATTTAAAATGTCTGTATCTTATTTTCATGCAGGATTCGAGATTGTTGGGAGAGATACATGTTGCCCTGCTGAAATACATTATTAGAGATCTTGATGATGTCAAAAATGCTCGTGCCTACATACCATGCGGTATTGAAGATAATTCTGATAAATTTGGGATTACGTTTTTGAACATTGTTGATGGGGTCTGTTACTCGAAAACAACTTTTACATGATTTTTAAAATAGTGCCCTCACAGCTTCGGTATGAAATCTTACATACTGTATTCATGTTTCCTTGCGCCAGGCCCAGGAATGGGGTTTTGATATACACTTCTGGAAGAGCAAATTAAATTTCTTAACATGGCCTGAAATATTACGCCAGTTTGCTCTGTCAGCTGGATTTGGGACTAAATTGAAGAAGGCAGGCTATGCATGCTGCCATGGCGACAAGGTATTCTGTTAAATTTCTCAATGCATCTATGCTTATGTTTTTGCACAGTACAAGTGTCATGGGACATGTCGAAGCTAGTTTTTATTGTAGCCTTATTCACGGCAATATGACACTTTTTTCCATCTTTGTAGAACGGTGTGAATGCTGGTGATCGGGTTGCAAGTTTAGATAAAAATGTTGGTGGAAGTAATTCTGCTCTTGTGCAACAAAAAGATAAGAGCTCTTCCTGTGACAGTAGTTATCAATTAACTACTGGAACTTTGGAGTTTGCCGTATTTCATACTCTTTTACTCATTGGAAGTGAAGGACTGACACCAGTTGAGGTTGCAGACTACATTAAGGTAAATCCTCTTCAAAGTAAACCACTGGATATCTTTTTATCATGGCATGTTTGTTGAATCTTTGAACTTATTTCAGGAACATAGATTATACGACCTTACAACAATAGAGTCGGCACATACATCTATTAACAGTATTCTAGCAAAAGATGCTGAGCTTTTTGAAAGAGTTGGTTCAATCACATATCGTGTGAAGCCTTGTTTTGGGAAAGATCCTTCCATTGTTGAGAAGATATTAAATGGTGCTACTAAAAGCATACAGTTGTACGGGACTTCGCATTTTGCAGTAAAATTATCTGACCGAAATTTTGAGGATCTAGGTCTTGCTGATAGAGATGAAGACTTTGGGGACAGTTTTGATGAACACCCTTTAGGCGGTAAATTTACCAGCGAAAGCTCGTGTGACTTAAATAGTACTAAAGTATCAACTTCCTTGAATAAATCAACTCAATATTTACATCCTGATGAGCCTGGACTGATAAATGAAACTGGGTTCGAAAATGTGGATGGAGTTTCTTTGTTGTTTCTTGAAAGTGCGGAAGATGAAAATTTTTTAAGCATGCAGAATGATGAATTCTTTGAATCCATTCATGAGGTTAGCAGTGCTAGTGGAGATGTAAAGAACAGTGAGCAATTTTCTGAATCATGGGTTCAAGAATTGATTGAAGGAGAGTATTCTTCTTTAAGCACCGAAGAGCGTCTCAAAGTGCTAGTTGCTTTAGTTGGTGTGGTTGTTGAGGGAAACTCGTTCCATATTTTTATTGAGGTATGAATTTTCCCCTATTTTATTGAGTTATGGATTTTTTAGTTTTTCTGTTTGCATCATTTCTATTGCTATTTCTGAAGAACTATATTACAGGAACGCTTGAAAGAAGCACAGGCCTCTAAAAAGATGATGTTGGCAAAGATGCGATTGGACAGAAAGCTGCATGAAGAAGTATATGGTATTATGGACGATAGTACTTGTGTTCATGCAAATCCAAAATCTTTTAATAAGCAGGCTCCTGATTTATGTCGTTATAGTACTCTTAACGATGTCTCAAGTCAGAAAAAGGAATTGGGGCAGCAATTTTCCTCCAATTCAAGCTGTATTCTACCCGAGCCGCTTGAACATGCCCCAGCATCGGATTTATCACAATTAGAGTTGTACATTGACCGGACTGCAGAAATGCTACATCCATTCAGATTTTTACCGTTGGGTCTAGATCGTAGGCACAATAGATATTGGCAGTTTTCAACATCTTCATCTCGGAATGATCCAGGCTCTGGAAGAATCTTTTTTGAGTCTAAAGATGGGTTTTGGAGGGTTATTGATTCTGACGAGGTATTCATTTCTCATTCTAGACATTTGAAGATTGACGCTATATATATTAATTGTGGAATACTCAATTATACCTTTGATACACCACCTGCAGCTTTCAAGTGTTTAGTTGCTAGTTTGTTCTCGGTATTGCTGTTCAAGCTATTACCACTATTTTGTGGTTGTCATTATAATATAGGACTTTTATCATTCAAATACTTAATTTTGTATCTTTGCAGACATATTATGGAAGTTTAGAAACTTAAGTGCTCTGTAGTTGTCTTCCTGCATTTTTCTCCAAAACTGTGATTCTCTTAGATATAGCATTGCATTTAATCTTGTTGATGCTTTGATGCAAGATGTATGGTGGACTTTGTAGTGGTATATTGAGGTGAGTAATTTTATTTGATGTCAGAGTGTGGAGTGTAACCTGATGGAAGTGATTTGTGGCTTATGAGTCTTTGGGAAGTTTGCTTCCGAAGGTGTTTGAAACCTACAAAGGGGATTTCAGATTGCTGATTTTTGTGTAGACTTTATGATGGGAATATTTAGGGAAATATGATACATGTAGGTGTTTTATGGATAGTTTTAGATTTTGCGAAAAGATTGCAATAGTTGATTAGGATTGTTGTTAGGAAGTTTTAGTGTGTAGAGTTGAACAACGGGAAAATGGTTGGATTGAGACAGATTTTGTAGAGCTTACTTATGTTGGAGAGAACTTCGAATGAGAGTGTGGAAATTTAGAAAGGTCTTGAACACTCAAGGGCAAAATGACAACAGAAGCAATTAAAATACTAGAATAAAATAAAGATACACACCTCACTAAAGAGAGGGAGATCCAAGACACCAAACCAAGGATCGGGGATTAGCCACGAAAGTTTTTTGAACGAACTAGAACATTCAAGTGGGATGTAGAGGAGAAAATCACAAGTAGAAACAATTAAAATATTTGAATAAAATAAAGATGCACGTCTAGCCAAATACAAGGAAAATCCAAGACAACTAACCAAGGATCAAGGATTAGTCACCAAACCTTTTTGAAGGAAGAGAACTATTTTTCTTAAATCAAATCATCAATAATACTCTCTCATTATAAATTTTCTCATATTTAACAATATTATGCAAGAGATGAATTCAAAAGAACACTAGGAAATCTAAGGTTGGTAAAACTATAATCATTATATCTTAGAACTATCTTCAGACTTTATAACTCCATTTGAAAATTAAAGGACTATTAACCCTGTTGAATGCTGGTATTGTAAAATGAAACATCACACTTGGATCCATAAAAACAAGGTGACATGCTTGCTTTGATCTAGGCTTTGATGACTTCACAATATAAAATGACAATGGTGATATGACAGTTGACTTGTAGCTCACATTTAACTTAGTATTTTCACTCAAATTACATCAAAACTAACTTTAAATAAGTTCAAATAAAATCCCAACACAAAAAAGTAATTGTTTAGATATTATTTACCCTGGCCAAAGATCTAGTAATTGGCCCCAGCTACACCTATTCTACATCATGCTTCCTTTCTTTCATAGTTTTACTTCTAACACGTAATGCAACTGAAACGAACAAATAATCTTTGTTTTATTAAATAAACGTGGCAAAAAACCCTCCTAATTTGTTTGAAAGTATGAATCCTTGACTAAAAATTAAGGAAATTCTTCATTCGTTTTTTGTCTTCTAGTTAGCTTTTTAATTAGAAGGTGAGTCAGGAGCTAATAGATAGTTTGATGCAAATTAAGATTTCTAGGAGTTCATGGATTTTGAATATGATAAGTAGCCGTGGCTATTTAGGGGCAATGCTGTACCCATCAATCTCCCTTTCAAACTCCATATTTTTTGTGCTTTGAATATTCACTTTTAAATTGTTAGTTTTAGATCAGGGAGTCGGTAGGTAGGGTTTTCTGCCTTTTAAAAGTTCAATGTACTTGTCTAGCCATATATGCACTCTGACCTCTTGCCTTTTTGATTTGTGGCGGACTTTTTATTTGCACTTGTAGCAATATTTGGATGTTTTCCAGTTAATAATATTTTTCTGCGCATATCTCCTGCATGTCATATGCATGTTATGTAATTCTTAGTAATTTGTGATTCTAGGTTAATTTATGTCCCAATAACTTAAGTGTGTGTAGGCATTTGATGCTCTTCTAGCTGTGCTGGACACCCATGGGATCCGAGAATCACATTTGTGTTTTATGTTGAAACGAGTTGAGATAATGTTCAAAGATACTACCAAAAGGCGCAAAAGCAGAGAATTTTATGCGGAATCTACAACTGATACTCTGCAAACGACTCTTGCTCCTGATTCTTGCACTGCTAATCATAATATTAGTAGCATTTCAGTTCTTCCTGCGTATGACACCATACAAAGTTCAGCATCACTAAAGATTGATCTTGTCAGCAATGAGGAGAGTTCTGCTTCAAAGAAGTACCTAAACTTTATGAAATGGATGTGGGAGGAGTGCTTTAATCCTCGCTTACTATGTGCAATGAGATATGGAACCAAAAGATGCCTTCAGCTACTTGAAACTTGCCATATCTGTTACCAGCCTTACTTGGCTGATGAAAGGCATTGTGCGAGTTGCCACCTGACTTTTGGCATCCCTATGAATGGTTATGAGGATTTCTCTGAACATGTTGGTCGTTGTGAGGCAGATTTCAAACTACAAATATCAATTCCCTTTATTCCCATCAGTATCCAGCTGCTGAAAGCACAGTTAGCAATTATTGAGGTAAGGAGTATATTGTGCTGACCGTTCTCTAGTTAATCAAGGTGCTAACTAAAAAATATCTTTTTACATGCATTTATAAAGGCTTCAATTCCAATGGAAGCGTTTCACCCCCTCTGGGATGATAGCTATCGCAAATCATGGGGTATCAAGTTGAAGCTTTCATCATCTGCGAGGGAGATTTTCCAGGTTTGCCTTTTTATAAATGCATGTTAGCTGTACGTTCATATCTAAAATTGTAAATTTAATTACTGTGATAGTGTTATGTTCTGTACAAATGCCGACAAGAAGAGCTATCTTCTTGATATGGCTCCTGATAGTCATCATAAAATTTATATTTTAAAGTACAGTTATAGCAGCAATGCTACTATGGAAGCACATTCCTGGAGATTTGTAGATTTTTTTTTTTTAATTTTGATCAAATTGGTACTTCCATTGAGGTGGCATGTCAGACTAAGGCTTTGTTTGGGACGGCTTTTTTCCCGCTTCTTAAAGTTTCTAGTATAAAAATTAAAATTTTTGTATTAAAAAGCCGCTTTAAGAAACAGTAAGAAAGCCGTCCAAATGAAGCCTAAATTAACATTTTGGATGTTTTATCTCTTATTAGTTTTGCTGTTGCTTACGTAAGACCCTCTTGTTTTCTTGTTCAACTAGATCTTAATATCATACCTTTTTTAAACTAAGATCTGCCCTATTGTGCAATTGGGTTTACAACAAGTTTTAAGTAAAATGTAAATTATATTAGTCCATAAGATTTATTTATTTTTTGTATAAACTAAAGTAAGAGGAACTCTTCTTACTATTTGAACTGTGATTTTAACAGTTTTATAAACGTACTGTATCTAGCATAAGATGAACTCTGATGAATGGCAGTTCATCTACTTGTGGGCATTTTTCATGCGAGTTCAGAGTAGAAATTGTTTATCATCTACATATATTGTACTTAGTGGCTTTCTTTGTATATGCATTGTCACCGTGATAGAACGGTGGATTGGCTTGACGTTTTCTCTTTTTATACTTTCAGAGCCTCACTATCTTAGAGAATGCAATTAAGCCAGACTGTTTGTGCCCAGATTTCGTTACAACTAATGAACTGCTAAGCTCTGAAACCGATTTCCTTGGTAATACATCTACTGAAGCGGTTCGACTAATCCCATGGATTCCTGAGACAACTTCTGCGGTAGCATTGAGACTTTTGGATCTTGATTGCTCCATTCCTTATATGCTGCAACATGGACGAGAACCTTTAGAAGGCACGGAAGCTGGAGAGTTCCTTGTAAGTTCTTTTTTTCTATGTTTATTTTATTTAGAGTGTTTCTTTTTTTTTCTAGAGCAATAACATGTCAGCCAAACAGTTACTGGCATAGAAATACCTTCTGAAGTAGGAAAAAACCTGGAGTTGATGTAATGAACCTTTTTGGCTGTCATGGATAATTATGCTGTGAAGTTGGTAGCTTTATGTCTATTTTTGATTGAAAAACTAAGAGTGCTAGGATGATGGTAGTTTTAGAAACGCATGGTTGTGTTATGTTTCATTAAGAGCAGAATCTGCAAGGCCTGTACGGCTGTACGTCAATTTATCTTTGGTAGTCCTCCTTTTCTATCAGGCTTCTAGGAAGATTTGTTTGCAGCCAATGTGAATTTACTATTTGGTAGTTACATTTCTCTTTGTTATATGCCAATTTTTGGTGGTTAAAATACAACTGGGACAACCTTCTTTTGCAAGCAATTACGCGGATACTTTCATGAATGAAATACTCTAAACTCTTTCTCTCGAAGCTTCTGACATATCTTGTGCCATTTTGTTGGAAAATACCATATTTTTAGTGGAATCCTATTTGCTACTTAGTTTGGTTTAGAAGTGTTCGTATTACTTTCATAAATTTAGGAAGCCATCTCAACTTAAATCCTATTCATATTTCTGAGAGAACATGAAAGTACAACTTTCTATTTTTACTGCAGGTTCTTCCACGCTCTACTGTTGTGGAGCCTGCTCATCAGGTGGAATCAGCCATCTCTGATAACACTGATGACCAAAACGGAGGTCAGGGGTTTCATACTGTGGAGAACTGCTTGCATCAGGAACCCGGTTATGATGGAGGAGGGCAAAGAAGCTGCACTAATATGCAAAATATAATTCATGGTGAAGATAACTCAGACTTGGAGGATTTCAGTTCCAGTGGAAACAGCGATGAAGTTGAAATCAACTTTGAATCCTCAGATAGCTTGCAAGGAGTTAAAATTCCTGCAACATGGTCCTACAAAACGAATGCAGAATCTGCAAATATATATTCTAAAGCTGGAGTCATGGATGATGAAGATGAAGAAAGTGCACATAAAGATGAGTTTGGTGGTGGAGAGGCAGTGGAGAGTAATGAATGCCATCGTTGGCAGGAAACTGTGAATTCTTATTTCGAAGGTTACTTAGACGAACAAGAGAGTGAAGGTAGAAATTCAAAAATTGTATTAGAGCAGCTGGAGGATCGCTGGGATGTGAAAAATAGCCGTTGGGAGATTGCCTTTTCTACTAAAAGTGCAGATGGAGAGGAAAACTCCTCTTCTGTGAACACAAAATAGATAGTTCTTAGTACAGAGATCATGATTCCGAAATTATTTTAAAACTTGCAGCTTCAGAGTGAAGTTCCTCATCTTCGGATAACTAGCAGAAACCTGTTAGTTATTTTCTACAACCTTACACCCAGAATGTTATTAGAAGTAAGAAAATATGCCTCTGATGATTTAATAACTTAGAATAGTTATTGAGAACTCCAGTAATTGTAATTGATTTCTATGATTGTTTAGCGATTGAGGCTACCGGTGGTCTTCATAGGGATTAACAGAGAAACCAGATTAGTGTGGTAAAGCCATTTTTTTTTTGCCAGGGCCACCACTTACATGAAATGAATCATTTAGGAGTATAATGATTTGTATATGAAATTTAACTTATACTGTCTTGAACTGGTTTTTGTAAAGGTTGACAATTCTATTCTCTTGACACATTAGCAATGGACAGAAGAACACACTAATTATTCAATGTTTTGTGCTCGCATTACAATTGAGTTGTGAACTTGATATGGTCCAGTTTCTGATTGACCCTTTATACTTTGATTTGTATCTGTTTCATTTAAACAGGCTAAGATCTGACTGGGTCATTGCATGAGCTTGATCAGATATATGGTATGTTTTGAGCCTCAGCTTTCTTAACATGATCTTATCTCAGCTTGAAAAATAATTTGGAGCAAATTAGTTTTTTTTCTTTCCAAAATATGTTATATTACAACTTGTCATATTAGCAAAGGTACTAGGTAGGGTTGTTAATGATTTGATCGTTCAAAGTCATTTGATTCAATGCAGCTTTTATTTGTTTATTTGCTCTTGATTTTGCTTTGCTTTTTTTTTTTTTTCCGATAGTTGGTTTTTTCATGGGAGCATAAATAGTGATGTAAAGACTTCGTTAGGGGCTGCTTTCTTATTATTTCTTAAAATAGCTTTTTAGTATAAAAATTATATTTTTTAAATTAGAAAGTTGCTTTAAAAAAGCCGTCCCAAACAAAGCCTAAACCATTATCAGATTATTGCACATTCAACAGTGGGAACAAACAAGGTTGATTGCAATAATTTTTTGAAAAAGATGGAATGAAGATTTAAGAATTTTAGTGATGAGTTTCTTCATAACTTTATGTTGAGGTTAAATTATTCTTTTTGTTGGTATGGATATGTTTTTTTATATAGATTGAGAAAAAATATTTAATTTTAAGTTAGTGATGATGCATCTTTTTGGTGGAACACACAACTCCCATATTTAAGAGAAATTGTTATGTTCGGAGGCCGGACGCAGAATGTCATCTGAAGACTAATAAGAATGCGCCATATCAGCGGTGCCAAGCAGTATCGAGTAGCGGTACCAAGCGAATGGGTGACGTAGCACATTTTGGTTGATTTTCGGACGGTGTTTGACGTCACCACTAAAGAATTAATCCACATTTCGAGTTTGCGCTTGAAAATATCTTTAATTTAATAGTTGATATTCGGCATCATTTTGTCCTCATTTCAAGTAATGTTTGGGCATTTTTTTTGAAGTAAAGAAGACTTAAATAAGAGTTTGAACTTTTTATTCAAAGTGAAGAAATAGGGATTCAATGTGAGAAAATAATGTAGAGATGTATGGTATATCTAATTATATTTAGAAAAAGATTTATGGGGCATTTGATCTTCAAATTTGGCAGTCTTAAATATGTTATTTTAGATGTTAGAGCTAAATTTGACTTGTTTTTCATAATTTAGGAGAACTTTAACCTATATGATTATAATTTGAAACTAAAGATAATCATATTATTATATGGGAAGTGAGGACTATTATAATAATTGAGAAAATGATTAAAATGGTCTCTATTCTTTGTGAGTGGTTAAAATAATCCTAAATTATGTTGATGGATCGATTTGGTCTCTCAAACTCTTTAAAAATAGGTATTTTTAGTCCTTGACATCATTAATATCAAAATTTGATGTTAGTATAAAAAATATTCTCATTTAAGGAGTTATTAGATCAAATTAACCCTTAAAAGAGTTGTAAATTATTTTGATCTTTCACAAATAGTTGATGGACTACTTTGATCATGTTCTTTATAATAATTTATCATATAAGAAATTTTGGTGATGTCATAAGCAAACTATGACAATATGTAGAAGATTATAATAATAATAATTTATCCCATCAAGGCATTCCTTGAGAAATTATAATCTAGTTATGCTATGTATGAAAAATTTAAGAAATTATAGTCTTATCAAGTTATGCTATACTCGGAAAATTTAAAAATAATTGTTGATTTTCAACTTGATAGTGAATGATATATTGAATATGTTTACTCCTCTTAGGATATTTATGTTCAAGACTTTAAAAATGCATTTTACCTAGTCTTAAGTATTGATGGAACATTTTTTAATACACGATGATATATTTACCTGTGATAGTGGATAAAATTCGAATACTTGTTTTGACTGACACCAGACTGGAGGGGGCTCGACGAATCCTCGTCGACGATCCTGTGGCGGTCGCCGGAAAACTCCAAGAACTCCTTCTTGGGAGAGGGATCACCACCTGAAATCCTTCATTATACAGAAACCCAAAAAGAGTAAAACTACTCAAATATTATTCATTTTTCCAATCTCCCTATTACAAGCAATGACTATATAATTATAGCCAAAGGAAGCAATATAATAGGCTACACAATACATAAGAAAGAAATACTCCTATACATCCATACAAACTACTAGGGAATTAATCTAGCTTGAAATTAACTTGGTTAAGCATCTCAGCTCCGGCGTCATTGACCTTGTGGCATTTGTTGTAGTTGACTAAAAAATAATGAATCATGGTTAGATTTCATGCCTAAATTGAGGAAGTTGGTAGTCATGCTAGAAAACTTAGTGCTTGTTGGTAATATACATAATAAAGAGATGGTATTTTGGGATGAAATTAAAGTATTTTTCTAAGAAGATAAATAACATACATATTTTTCCAATTTCAAGTTTTATGAGGCAAGTAATATCAAAATTCTCTTTCTAAAAAGTATGAGAGAAATATTATAATTTAAAATTTAAAAGTTTGATTCTCTTATTTTTTTATTTTATACTTGATATAACTTCAGAAAAATCATATGATCTGCTCGTATCTCATGGTAATGTTTAAATTAGAAGTTTTTGAAATTAAAAGATTGATAATTTGAATTCTAAATTTGACATGTGTATAGTTAAAGCAAGTAGCTTGAAGAGATAAATCCAACGAGCTTAAGATCACTCAATTATGAAATCTTTAAGGCACTTAAATTCTGAAAAAAAATTCATGATTAAGAAAATCAATAATGACCGTGCAATAAAGTGTTTTAGATTTTGATTCAAATTATTAAAATACTCATCCCAAAAAACCTATAAGTAAAGCCCCATTCTCCATGTGAGAGGGAGGAAGAAAGGAAAGAATTAAAGAGTTCTCTTGTAGTTTTTAGCTATTGTCAACGACGATCACCACCAGCTATTGTCAATGACAGTCAGTATTGTCTTCGACAATCTATCAGTAATTGCTGCTATCTACAAACTTTTGATTAGATTTAACCCTGATGTTGGGTATAGTCGTCTGTTTGTGAACATTTGTTTTCTATAATTTCTATTGATGAAATCAAGCCCTGCTATTCGGAGTTAATCGTTCCTATGTGGACACTTGATTTATGTTAACCCTTATAAAAGAAATCAGACATCTCATTTTCAAATAATTTTCTTTTTCTTCAAGCATGAGGAAGAAATAAATTTTGTATCTTCTAATATATAATAAAATTTTAGACCTCATTGTTTTTTCCATTTCAAAATTTTTCATATAATTTTTTTTTTATCTTACTATTTTTATCAAAATTTTGTACAACGTTGAGAGATCAACACTCACTCTACTTAACTCAAATTTTGAAATTTTCTAGCATTAACAATATTATTGTATTTATAACAATATTTATTATACGACTAATTTTGACTTTTCAAATTAAACTTTTTTTTAATGGTTTCTATTTTCAAAAAATATATATTTAATTATGTATTATTAAATATTATACATATATACCAACAGATCAAATATAATTTATTTTGAACGACTTCTTCAATGAAAGCCCATCAATTTTAATTTTAAATTAATTAAATTTTGAATAATTATTAATAAATTTCGAATTTTATATTTAATTATATTTATCAAATAGCTCGTTTATCTTTCCCTTTTTTTTGGATAAGATTAATTGGTAATTATAATAATGAAGAAGAATATTAAAAAGCACAAATCAGAACTATACTTCAGGATCTATCTTCTCTGCGCGGAAGAAGCTGGCATTTCTCCTCGAAAACCCTAACCAGAAATCCGATTCCTTTACTCCTTCGCAAGAAAGATTCGATGGCTGGGATTGGTCCGATTACGCAGGACTGGGAGCCCGTCGTGATCCGCAAGAAAGCTCCAAACGCAGCTGCTAAGAAGGACGAGAAGGCTGTCAACGCTGCCCGGCGGATGGGCGCGGAGATCGAGACCTTGAAGAAGTGTAAGTTGTTTTACCATCGCTTCTTCTACTCGCTTCTTTGCTGTTCTAGAGGGCTTTTGCCCGTTTCTGTTGATTCGATTGATTCTTTCCTGTTGTTATGTCGCATATCACAAACCGATTTTGAATCGTTATCATGATCAGTCGTCGGTTTATTTGAATCGTTAGAAAATTTATCTTACAGTAGCTGGATGGACGGAACTATGGTTTTTTTGTAATGTTTGACTAACTGATTCTGATTTGCGTGAGTTGGGAGATGATGAATTGTACGATTATGGATTTATCATCATATAATCCATAGTTGACTTGGTTTGTGGCTAGAAAGGTTATGATTTTTTTTCTTTTTTGCCAAAGGCCTTTTGGATGATTTTTCTCAACCGGGCATGTACTGAATTTGATATGCTTACTGAGGAATTCCATATTTCTCTCCGTCCATGTACTCTGTTACCATTTTAGTCTTCATGTTTTCATCAAGATTTTTTGCTGTTCGCAATTATCCATGGTAGATGTCCCAGTTAACTAAATGACTCAATTGCTATTGTTTTTTCTTGGCATCTGATGGTGCGCCATGTGAAATTTTGCGTCCAATCTATTGGGTTTTTTTTGCAAGTAATATGATGCTTGTTTTGTCTAATAGGATGCTTTTTTTTTTTTGGCTTTTTAAATTGTGTTTGCCATGCATGTCCAGTGAGCTGATATGATGAATATTTCACTTCTTTTACAAGTTCTGCAAGCTTCATCTCTGACCCTTGACTGTTTTATGTTATTTTGTAGCTAATGCTGGCAGCAACAAAGCAGCTTCAAGTAGCACAACATTGAATACAAGAAAGCTTGATGAAGAAACAGAAAACCTTTCTCGTAAGTTGATTTGATGTATTTTTAATTTTAATCTGTATCTTTATCTCCAACTATTCCTATTGAAACATTTGTGTATCTTTAACTTGTATAAAATTTTTTTGTTGGGTTTTCGTTTGGAAGTGAGTACCAATTTACACTTGGGTCAAACAAGATATACTGTTAAGAAGAGTAGGCTACCTTCTTTGGCTTGGCTAGATTATTTGTCTAGAGGCGTAGAGCTACCTATTGGAAAGACCAATTTGTGCACATGAAATGCAAGGGGAATAGGGGATCATCCCACTCCCCATTCCATGCTATCCATTCTACCTGCAGCAACTTTTGGGATTGATTTTTTTGCCCTTTTATGCTTTTTTATTTTTATTTTAATAATTATCTGCGTGTATGTATTTATTCAGTGTAGGAAATAAAAAATCTATGAGCATTCCCCAATCATCTTTCCTTAAAAGCACTAAATGCCAACCCTAACTTGTATGCCTTGCACCTTGAAAGGCAATACTGTTGAAGCATATGATGCTTGTGTTCAGCTAATGGCTTTAATGATGTTTTGGTTTTGTAATTCATGGTCAGTGTATGATATTTGTCTTCTTCTTTTTTGTATCTCTCAAGGACCTACCGTTAAATGCACATTCAGTTTGCAAGATATTGCTTTATCCTCAATATTCCTATGCTTATTATTTAAGCATTCCCTTTTCTTTTAACATAAATTTATGTGTTTATAAAATAAAAGATGATAAGGTTCCGGCTGAGCTGAAGAAGAATATCATTCAAGCTCGAATAGATAAGAAACTAAACCAGTCGCAGCTTGCACAGGCAAGTAATTCTACTAAACTGCTTCTTGATTGCTTGTACTCTGAACTTCCATGCTTACATTGGCCTTTCCTTTTTCCTTTTCAGTTGATCAATGAGAAGCCCCAGGTGATTCAAGAGTACGAGTCCGGGAAGGCAATCCCAAATCAACAGATCATCAACAAACTGGAAAGAGTCCTTGGAGTGAAACTGCGGGGTAAAAAATAATTTTAAGCTAGTATGTCTTACAGATCATGAAGGCATTATTTGAAACTATGTATTGAGTTATTGTGCCGTTAGTTCCTGTGCTGCTTATGTTAGTCAACCCTTGCATGTGTTCTTGTATTACCTTGTAAGTGAATTTTAGACTGTTGATGGCTTTCATGATTAATGTGCATCTGTTTCGCTTAACGTGCCTGCTAAATTGGGATTGCTATGTGGTATGTCATTTCTGAGCAATTATTGTCAGAACACTGTCAAATGTTATTCTACGTGGATGAAACTTGTGGGATTTTCGAAGAAGTTTTTTTTTTTCCTCTAAACATGTTGTAAGTATCTCTAAAAAGTGATGCAAAAGTTCAAAAATATCTTATGCACATGACTATAGTAATGGCCAAACGCTATTCTGATATTATTTTGGGGTGCTAGAAGGTAATACCTAACTCTATTACTAGTTAGCTAGAAAGGTAGAGAATAGCAATCATTCTTTGATTTGATTTTGGTGCATCATAATTTTATTAAAATAATATAATATTTATGTTATTAATTTTATTGATAACATAATATTAGTCATACTATTCTATTAATCAAGCTTTTTTTGTTAACACAAATGACCTTGAATCACCCTTTTGCCCCCTTTTCGACAGTTTGTTGCAAGCACACTTGAGTCTTTGTTATGTCTGTTGTCATCATCACTTTCTTGACCTCCTTTTGTTCTTCTTATCGTGCAGTCACTGTCCTCACCACTTTCCTCCCACCGTGTATTGGCAAATTATTAGGTGCGGACACCGGACGGAGAGAACCGTTCGGTTTTCTCTCTGTCTACAGTAAAAGCACCATCAAAGCACAGCTGCTACCGTAATTGCGCTTTTATTATAGATAGAGAGAAAACCGGACGGTTCTCTTCGTCCAGTGTCCGCACCTAACAATTTCTCCTGCGTATTACATTGAACCTGCTCTTCGGTGCTATTTTTTAATAAGTAGGATAAGTCAAGTAATATTAGTATATCTCATAAACTTGGATTTAGTAACTCTTGAAAACTGTTTTACATGAAATCTGTTAAATTTGGTTAAATTTTAGCAAATTGGTTGGATATCTACTTCATAATTTACGATTTGAGTATATAATTGGTGGAAGAGAAGCGGCAAGATCTCGGTGAGATGAGCATCACAGAACAACAAGAATACAATGGAGATTGTGATGAGGGGGAAAATAGTCCTTGCAGACGAGAACCGCAATATACATACCTCTATAAGGATGAAAACTAACAAATTGGGTGGAGATTTCGGCTTACGTCGTTATGTAGGCTTTGTTTGAGATGACTTTTTAAGAAGCATATTTTTAGTAATTTTTTTTCAATTTTTTACTAAAAAGCTGCTTTAAGCAGCGGTAAAAAAGCCGTCCCAAATGAAGCTTTAATCGGCAGTCAGATTTACCTACATGAAAAGTTCTGGCTTGATTTATCTTAATTCCATCTTAAATTCCAATACGAAATAGTCCCTTGCATTAAATGGTGCTTTCATTGTTTCTCTGAACTTCTTCGTGTGAGAGCAGATGTTGCCCTGCCTTTGCATATCCTTTTGCATCTTAGCGCCATGGGAGCGCCTCAGTTTGAAATCACTAACAGTTGGATAACTCCATAAGAAAAATAACTACATTGCTGGTGTTCAATCTTTGCGCATTCACAATTGTCATTGAGCTTTACTCTATATGAGAGCAGTTTTTTACTCTCATTGTTAGGCAAATTATTACGTCCGGTGTCCAGATTCGTTCGGACACCAATCCAGACGCGCCACGTCGCCAAAATGCACCGGGACCCAGTGCATTCGGGTGACGTGACGCGCCTGGATTGGGTGTCTGGACGTCCGGTGACCGGACAGAATAATTCACCCATTGTTATGGCTTTCTGTCCTTTGTAGCTTTCTTTTATAAATATTCAAGATATGTGGGGCATTTTTTTGGGACATTTAGGCCATTTAAGGCAAACTCACACACACAACGCATACACATAGACTCGAATCTGAACCTCTTAGTTGGAAGCCTAAGCTCTCAACCAATAGGCCAAGGAGAGTTGTGTATGCGGGGCATTAGCTTCCTCAAGTTTTGGAAGTAGCTCAGATTGTCCATAATATTTTTAAACTTTTTGGTATTTTATCAGGGTTATGATTAGACTTCTGAGATATGTAAATAAAACAATTTTTTATTAGATTTATATAATTATCACTATCCTTTTAATTTATCATTAAATTGATTGTTTTCTTCATTTTTTTGTTGTTTTTTTTTTGTTCTATAAAAATTTCCATGAATTATCCAAATTATTATCATCCATATATGCAAGGATTGCACAAATTATTCCCTAAAAATTATATGTTGATTGTAATAATTAGAGAGCATTGTCTTAGATGTTTTGATCACATAAAATATCAATCTTTCGGTAATCCCGTTTGGAGATTGGATGTTTAGATTTGGCTTATGTTAAGAAATGAAAAGACATTCAAATAAATAATTTGATTAAAAATTATTAGAAATGATATTTTTATTAGATTTAAATGAAAATTTATAATTAATAATTTATATAGAAAGAATTAGTGGTTAAAATAAATGTGATAAAAATAGTTTATATTCATATTTTAATTTAAATAGGACCATAAAAAATGCCTTATATTCTCTCTTCCTAATCATTATCAATTTGGATTCAAATACCCATTTTGGTTTCCCAATATTTTCTTAAAGCCGGTCAAAAATGGAATAATTGATTGAAATATTCATTCCTTTGCTGATTTCTTCTGTTCTTGTAGGTGGAGATGCAAAGCTTGTGGCTTATTTCATTTTCAAGATTTATTCTTTTTTTTTTTTAAGATGGAGTTTAATTAATTGTTTATTTATTTGTTGTTGTTGTTGTTTTTGAATAAATTTTTACATAATTTTTTAGGTTAAATATTTTTATATACCAAGCTTAAATATATTTTTTCTAGTTTTTCAACACCCTTTTCCATATGCAACTCTGTCAAATCCCTTAATTTCAGTGTTTTGTAATTCAGCTGTCCAATTATTTCATATATTTATTTCAAAGATTTATTTTTTCACTTCCCTATATTAATATAAGAAAAATTGGTTGTATAACTATAATTTTATATAGAGTGAGTAGGGGTGTCAATATTGGACATGACCCGAAATCCCGACTGAAATTCGACATAGAAATTTCAGGTTTGGGTCAACCTGAACTTGAAACGGGTTGGATTTGGGTTAGAGTTTTCAACCCGTTTGTAAAAACAGGTTTCGTTCGGGTTGACCCGGAAATTCGAAATCAACTCGGTTTGATTGCGACAATCTGTTTCCCGTTCTTTGTCCATCCCATCGTGTACATCCAATCTTTGGGTCAAGCAGTCGCGTTCGCGTCAGCCGTCGCGTCCATCTAGCCTTCTGCTTAGGTAATCTCGCATATCGCTCGGATGCTTATAGGGCATAGCTGTAGCACACATAGCCGCATAAGGTTGTGAGGTCGTCTGGTCAAGTAGTCGGGTCCGGGTCATCCAGTGTCTCGGCGTCTCACTCCCAGTCTCCCACGCACCGCAAGTCCGCGACGCAGATCCACTCATAGGGTCGCCAGTCGTTGCCTTAGTAGTTTGTCGACAGGTAAATGTCCGCGTCAAGTCAGGTCTGAACCGTTGTTGCTAACTTCTCTCGCTCTTCAACCAAATTGCGTAAATCCATATAGGGTTGGGTTGAACCTAACCCGAAGTGGGTCGGATTCGTGTCCCAAAAATCGACCCGTTTGCAAAAAAAGGGTCGGGTTGATTGGAACATGAATAGTGTCTGGTGAATTCCGGGTTTAACCCGAACCCGACTCGTGACTCAAAATTGACACCCCTATATAGGAGTTTTACATATATGTGATTGTATTCTTTTAAATTTGATACCTAAATCATTATATTTCTTGATTTAACATCCTAATTTCTAAATCATAAAAAATATCACATATTAATTTATTTAAAGTGAAATATACTTTTTTATGCATGTATTTTAATGTGGATATCTAAATAAGGTATTATGAAAGGGAATATAATTATATAGTCATTATATATAAATATATAAGAATTTAGTTATATGGATGTAAATTTTTCTTTGTTATTTTTTTATAATATAAGATCTCTTAAGGCATTTTTCTATTCTTCTTTGATCTTATCCAGGAAAGTTATATTCTAATTTATTTACCAAGTTTTCTACAAATATCTGAGATATTTAAACTTATCACTTAGCTATAACTTTATTTTTATCAGAATTAATTAATAATTGTTAGCCCACTCAAATTCGTATATCATATGCTCCATCTTCACTTTATTAATTCTCAACCCTTTATTATCTAAATATTTTCTTTTTATTCTAATTTCTTACTTCTTTCAATAGATATTTATTGATTAGAGATTTTTCTAGTTGAAAAAATACACAAAATCTCCTCAAGTTGAGCATATTTTATAAACATCTTTTTAGTTAATATAAGAAAAATATGACTTAGGCTTTATTTGTGATAATTTTTTTATTATTTTTTGAAGTAATTTTTTAGTACAAGAATTTTTAATATAAAAAAAATTGACTAAAAAGTTGCATTATAAAGCACTAGGAAAGTGACAGTCGGCTTTCTTATTGCTTCTTAAAACAGTTTTTTAGTACAAAAAATAAACTTTTGTATTAAAAAGTTACTTTAAGAAACAGTAAGAAAGCCGTCCCAAATGAAACCTTTATGTCGATTATCAATGACAATATTTCAATAATTATTTAAAATTTTATTGAAATTTGATTTGAATATGCTAATTTCTAGTTGAAGTATTAAGATTTGAATTTTTCAGTAGGCTCTCCCTAACACAAAGCAGGCTGTCTTTTTAGAGAATTTTTCTTCATATTTCTTTCTTTTCTTATTGGAAGATAGCGACAAATTAAATAAATTGTTTCAAACCTTTTTTTTTAATTAAATTTTAATTATTTATGTAGCTTTTATGACTCCTAACTTTTATCAGTAATTTTTATTAGTTTATTTATTTTTACAAACAATTTAAATTTTATTTTTTATGTTCATAAAAATAATAAATAATTATTTTAATATTAATAGAATATATATATATTTTTTGTTTTGCATAAACCTAAACGTTAAAATGTCATAAATTTCCTATTTTGCACGCCACCTTCACCACCTTTAGTCAAAGTTAAAAATAAATAAATAAATAAAATTTGGCTAAAAAATTAAATCTGAAACAACACGTTACGATTTGGATTATATTAATTAATCAGCTTTTGAACATATTTTTTTATGTTTGGGCCAAACTCTGATCTCATACTTATTATTTAATTACTATATAATTAATTTCTTAATCTCTGCGATTATTTTCTTAATCTCCTCTTTCTTTTGACTTGCTAATGCCCTCGCATCATGTTAGTTAGGTGCACTTGTCAACTGCCTTCGCCCAATTATTTCGAGGTGGACCAATTTTATAAATATTATTAAAAATTAATAAAAAAATATCAAAGCATTATAAAAATATTAATGGAGTATTTCAAAATTTATATAATAAAAATATATAAGACAATAAATAAAATTTTGGTTATAAGAAACAAAATAAATATTTATTTATAGATATTTTATCCAATTCCTTCCATGAGAAATGCAACTGCACAAATAGTATTCCATTAATGAAGTTTTCATGTGAGCAAATGAGAAGGTTTCATTTGGGATAATTTTTTATCAATATTTTTTAACTAATAATATTTTTTTACTAAAAAACTGCTTTAAAAAATTGTCCCAAATAAAATCTCAATTATAATGACGAACTTAAGTCTTTGTTTGAGGAGAGATTATTTTGTAGTTCACTGTCCGGAGACCAACCAAAATATGCCACGTCAATAATACGAAGCACGATATCGAGCGGAGGTGACGTGGCGCATTCTGGTTGATTTATGGACGACGTTTGACGCCCGCACAAAATAATTTGCTTCGTTTGAGACAGCTTTCTTAGTGCTTCTTAAAACAGTTTTCTAGTACAACAAATAAAATTTTTATACTAAAAAGCTACTTTAAGAAGCAAAAAGAAAACGGTCCCCAACGAAGTCTAAGATTTTGAAAGAGAAAGATAATAGAACTACATCAAATTTGAAAAGGATAAAATTTCTATAATACACATCATTACATGATAATTTAAGAAGAGCCACACCTTAATGACTACCTGAGATTCTACCAGTGTTCAATCGGCCATTAAAAATGCTTAAACACATTGGAAAATATGAGAGCCAATAGTAGAAGATCAAGTTAGATACATAAGGCTTAGCATGATCTCAGGAAGTGCAGTGAAGATGGCAACTGAACTCAGTTTGAGAACTAAGCAAGCTGGAGAAAAGCTGGGAATCAGAAGAACCCAAAAGGCCCTTCTTGTTTTAATAGCTACCAGAAAGTAATACAGAACAAGAATCAAGTGTATCAGGTTATTCGCAAGCTAACTTAGTTCCAAAGCTTGAAAGGCAGATGGCAAAAGCCTGGAATGCAGAGAGTGGTTCTCTGTAATCCATGGTGAATAAGTCATCCCCAACCTTTCCAAACTGGAGAAGCACTGTGTCTTCCTCCAAGGCTCCTCCTCCAGCCTGGTTTGGATCTGCAGCTGCAACTAGCTGGAAATTCTTCACCGATGCAACGGTCACACGGCCGTGGAAATTTAAACACCAACATTGGAGATGTTCATGCCACCTCGGAGATTTGTTCTTGAGAACAATGGAGCTCGCCGTTCCGCCCATGGCGGTCTTCGTCGGGCTGTGGTGGCCTTCTGCTGCTGCTGCTGCTGGTTTTCCTCCTGCTGGACAATGTAGTGTGCATAGCATCCTTCTTGGTCCTCTTGATTTGAGAAGGTTGAATTTGTATGTAACCTGGCCGATCTCAAAGTTTCCAGTCCCAACCTGGGGGCTGATTCTCTTGCTAGCCAGTCGACGGCTTGCTCGGCTGTTTGAAGGCTTCGCACCGTCGTATGGTGGTCTGCTGTCATATAGCATGAACTTTGTGCCCAGGAAATTTGATCTGGTAAATGAAAGATGGAATTGTATAAATTTGGATAGCATTTTAACATTTCATATTTAGTCATTAGGTATTCACTTGTGAAACCGAAGGCAAAGAGCAAAAAGGCAAAGTAAACTTAGCATCAATAAAAGGACATGTCCTATGCCCATACTTCTCTACCAAGTGAATTCCTATATCTATGAACCACATCATCTTAGCACAAAAATGTGTCTAGGATTTCAGTTTTCCAACACAAAATGCGCATAAATCGAACCAGTGGTGGAACAATAAAAATATGAGATGCCCACTGAATAGTACAAAGCTCAAGGAGACTTATGAGCAAAGCTTAATAAACTGAGACTACAATCAGAGAGAAATATGTGATGCGAGCTAATTTTTGTGAATAAAATTGAAACAGAATATAAGAAGCCTCACCTCAACTTTCCCATGTAGGCCTTGCTTCCCTGAGAGAGATCATCAGCATCAAGGGAGATGGTATATTCAGTATGATACCCACGTCTGACCCTCCGTGCTGCCAATAGAAACTTCCCTTTGTCCATAAAAGCTGCAATAATATGTTCGTTAGCCAACTGTAATACTTAAAGCAAGAAAAATAGTTATCTTAGCAATGTGGATTCATTTAAAAAAAGAAAAGAAAAATACTTAGAATCTGTAACCAAAGCCGTATGGCATAAGAATAATTTGATTTAAATGTAGGAGTTGAAAGAGGAAAAATTCTTTTCGGAAGCTAAGATAACACTAAAAAACAAAGGGTCTAGGTGTAGAAATTGCATTCTTCCATTCATTTATTTATGCAAAAATCTCAATAATAATTGGTTTGAGGCACATATGAATACCCCAAAAATTATAAAGCACTCAGATTTTGTCTCAAAATTCAATTCCGATATATTTTTTAAATGGAAGTTGAAGATGTATAACAAGAAATATGATTCAAGCAGGCTCGAAACATTAAACACATACTATTTGTAATATTTGGCACATAATTTTCTCAAAGAATTAATAAGTTCATTTATTGCAGTAGAGGATTTTTATTACATGGAAGGATGTTAGGATAAAAAACTCCTACACTCTTGATTTCTAATTTCAAGCAGACTTTAATTGTTTCCAAAGTTATCAATTTCAAGAAGAATTCACATTAGAGATAACTCCTGACACATCGACACCTATGCAATTAATTTATTTTAAAAGAGCATTCTACCTACTTTTAAAGAAAAGAATGCTTTGCTTTATTATTGGAAGAAAAATATAAGCCAAATTTTGGTGTAAGCAGTGAAAATGACTATTTTGTCCTTACATTTGTCATTTTTTTATGAAAAATAAAACCAATTTAAGAATTAAGAGTAATTTCACTCTTTTGGTAAAAAATGAGGCCATCTTTTTCATTCAATATAGAATTAGTCTGAGAAAATAGGAAGTGTCATGGGGTGTAGAGAAAAAATACAAGAAAAATAAACTGCCAAAATGCATAGTGACCAGCTAATAGACCAGGCTTGGCAAAATTTCATTTTGCAGGTTCTCACCATCAAAGGGAAATAATGTCTCTCAAGATGCATAATTAAAATATAAGATGTCTCAAACTATTCCTAAAAAAAGCAAGATAAAAACCCAAACATACAAAAGAAGAGACAAGTTTAAAACTATGTCAACAATTGGAAAACTTGTACATGAATGTAGTACATATATCATAAGATCTGTGAAATGGAAAGACAAACAGAAAGAGAAGCAACTAATACATTCCAAGAAAGCCAAAATCACTGAATAAAAGTTATTATACCATAACAAGACAACTTCTGAGCATGAGTCCAAGTCAAAGTCAGTCGGGTATCAGAATTGTAAATCCAAGCTAAGTCAATCCTTGGTAAAATTTTTAAAAAGAGCCTCAGGAAGCAAAAGAAGCTAAAAAAATTAGTAAAACAATAGTTTCTGAAGATCATTACACATCTTTAATCAATGGTGATGAGGTATTGTTCAACAGGAAACGCCATTGATGCTTTAAATAATTCAACAAGGCGGAAGTCAAGGCAACATTGCATGGGAAATCTTAGGACATATTAAATGCTTTGATTTTCCATAATTAGCATGCTCAAAGAACAGCTTAGGTTCTATTGATCAAGGCTGGCAAGCATTCAACTGGTTAGGGTGAAAGTTGGCAGTAGATCTACCATATTCTTCATTTATAAGAGATATCAATCTCCCTAAATTTGGGGCAATTAGCAAGATTACAACTACAAAGCTCCTAATGAGCAAAATAATATTAGGTGACTCCATACTTCAATAAGGAATTGTTCCGTTTTTATTCTTAATAATTTGTTTGTTAAGTGATTTTTAACTATTTTAATTTTTTATTTAAAAAAAAACAAGTTGTATTTAAAAACATTCAAAATAATTTTGAGTATTTTTAAAAATAATTATTAACGCAAAGCAAGCCAAAGCCGCTATTATCACCTCGTCGGTTGCTGTTGTTGCTCGCAGGTGATTATCGCTGCCCTACCGGGCAACTCTACCATCACCTCATAAATCAACTTATTCGTTATTAAATACAATATATATATATTTTAAGATACTAAAAACGATTCACTTAATGGCAAAACATAACTAAAACAAAATAAAAAAATAAAGGTAAACCCAAACAGCACCTAAGGAAATAACATATGCTAGAACATAAGAATATTTGGAGTACAAATTGTTCTTTGTCTCCAACATTTCTGCATTTCTTTAGGCTCCAGCAGGTGCATATCTAAACAAGAGTAAATACAAGCCTCTTTATTACCTAATTCGAGCCCTCTGATAATTTTACAAATCATACAAAATCTTAGTTTTAAATCTTATCTTTAACAGATGCTTAATTAATTATGGATCTTTTAATCAATCATCTAATCTTTTATGCCACAACAAAGCTACTTATAACAACCGGAGTGAGGATGAAATATTCTAACAACTGGATGGTGCCATCTCTAAAAGAAAATATACACAAAAAAAGAGTAAAAACTCCTGTTTAACAGCTTAAATAGACAATGAAAACATACATTAGCTGAGGTAAGGTCACAGTCGAAGGATCGCAAAAGCCTGAGAAAGGTAAATGCATTCAAAACGTGCTGCTAGATAGATTGGGGTTCCTTTTATCATGTCAGGAGTTCCAAGGAGTAACAGAAATTCCGAAATTAAGATAATAATTCAAGTTGAAAGGTGCAAAGCGAGAGCTTTAATTTGTCGGTTTACAAGGTAGAGAATTGCTTGGGAACCTACTGAATATTAATCGAAGAATAGTACTTGACAACAAACATACGCAAGATTAAGCAAAGAAAATCCTAGTCGATCAGTAAGACCAATTATTTTCAGAAAGAAAAAAAGTTACAAAAAAGCAAGCCAGTTGCGGCAATTTACTTACTCTGGGTGAGACTAAGATAGAGATAGAACGTCGAGTTCTTCTTGTTCCTCTTAATAAAGCACTGGATAGGCAATTCACTCGGCCCCGGCTGCATTCGAATTAAAATCACGCCAAATTTAGTAAATTCCATACATATAAAACTAAAACCAGAAGACATCAGCTAAAAGGACAGATCCGCGCATCTAAAATGCACAGAAACGAATCTCACACCAATTCGAAACAGAAAATCAGAGCTCACCCAATATTTTCAACCCACAAACACCAAGAGTGAAAATTCATGTCCAAACAAAACCAAATTCACCCTAATTTACACAGCCTAGAACCCACCTGCTTAAGAGAGGAAGGAAAGGTGATCTTTCCAGTTTCCCGAGTAGATCCGACCATTCCGGTAGTGATCTCCCTCCACCTCCGGCACACACAAGCGCAGGAAACTACGTTCTTCCGCAGAGGCCACCGGTCCTCGCTCGACTCCACCCTCCCTATTATATCCGCCATAAGCTCCGGAAGCATCCTCGACCACCGGTTTTCCTCCATCCCCGCATCGGAGGCAGCATCCTCCCCTCTCTCCGGCTCTATCGCCGCCTCCACCTCATCACGCAGCCGCCTCCGCTGCTCCCCAAATAGATCAATCGAAGACCCCGAAAAACTACAAAGAAACCCCCTCGACCTCGACATCTTCTTCTCTCTCACACAGATCGATCGATCGGTCGCTTCAAGCTTTACTCTCTCTCTCTCTCTCGATCTCTCCTTTCTCTCTCTTCCGCCTGAGTCCTTCCTCAGACAAGAGAGCGGAGATGTAAACGCACGCGAATGCACCGGGCTTTTAAAAAGATCACATAAATTACATTATTTGCCATATTATATATATATATTAAAAAGAAAATATAAATTAATATTGCCGAAATTGAAATAATTATAATTTTAAATATTTTTATCATAAAAAATTTAGTCCGAATATCCACACGAACCCAACAAAATATTTATTTATTTATTTAAATAATATTAATATATGACTTAATTCGTAATAATATAGTAATAAATATTTTTTGTTATAAATTTATGATAAAGTAACAAAATAATATGATATTCAAATATAATTAATAATTACAAAAAAGTTGAATAAAACATCCCCCCAACATATAACCGATTAAATATAAATTATAAAATAATTCCTTTTTGATATTTTCCATTTTCGCAATATTATTATAGTACGGCTAATTTTCGTCAAGCAAAAAATAGTGGACGTTGAATAAGAGGTGTTTGACGGTAGAGCGACCCGCAATTGGGACCAGAAACGTGCCCTGGAGAAGTGGTAAGGGTAGGTGCGTCGGGTGTTTTTTTTAATTTTCGTGGTCTTTTCGTTGGGCACTAAATGGACTGTTAATTATAATTAGGTAAACACTAATTAGTAATTATATTTAAGGTGATTAGCGATGGTGACGCTTGTCAAGCTTCTATCCACTGTTGACTGCATCATTCGGCAACGCGCTTCTTTTAATTTTTTTTGTCTCTGAATTACCGTCTTTGCCAGAACGTTCGGTCACCACTAATATAGTGCCACGTAGCATGCACAATACCTTGGATCCGACCCGACAAATAGTGGGTATGTCGCACATGCATATTTTGAATCCATGACGACCCGATCTTGCTAGATATTGCTCGGTATCACTAGATATTGGTCGATTTTGCTCGACAATAATAAGAAATATTATTATGTGAAGACCAATACCGAGCAATACCGAGTTTTTCTAGGTATTGCTCGGTATTTTCTCGGTATTGCTTGGTATTCGTCTTCACAGAGCGGTATTTCTCATTATTGTCAAGCAATACCGAGCAATACCTAGCAATACGTGAACATAGCAATCCCGGGGTTCCGGTCCGTGTCGGGTCGTCGGGCCGCGCTGTAAAAAGTTAGAGCACGTGGCGACATGTTATTGGCGTATGGATGTAGAGCTACGTCAGGTCACCTGACCTAATAATTGTTCCTTTGACAGGGAAGTATATTTCAATAATTTTTCTAAGTAATATATATAAATATATTATATTTATGTACGTATGTATTAAGAACTATTATTTTATTTTAATAGATGAAATAAAATATTATAAAATTTTGAATCAAATTTCATAAATAATTGATTTGAATTGTTCATAGGACTGATTAAGGTTTCTTTTGGGATGATTTTTTTACTATTTTTTTAAAACTACTTCAAGAAGCAGTAAGAGAGCTGTATCAAACGAGGCTTAAAACTTTGAAATCGCATAAAACTTGGAGCTATTCAAAATCAAATTGCTCCAAGTTTACTCTAATGTTAAAAAATTGAATAACTAATTAACTTTTTTTAAAAAATTCAAACTTTCGACAATCAAATTATTCTACAGATTTTAAGAAATTATAGACATTTTGTCTTCATTTGGAACAGCTTTTGTATTACTTTTTGAAAGATGCTTTTCAGTATAAAGTTTTTTTATAAAAAAAATTATTAAAAAACTGCTTTATAAAATAATACAAGAGCTATTCCAGATGAAACCTTAAATTAGGGTTGATGGGGAAAGACCGATTATATGTTGCAATGTTGGCATCAACATATTTATCTCCTCAAGTGCAATGCAAGTATTTTAATGGTTCATGAGAGTTTTTTGGGAGCCATAATAAATATTGGAAGGCATATTGATGGAATTTGGCACCAAAAAACAACAACAATATTTCTCTATCTTTTTTTCTCTATTTTTCGAAGCAAAGTGTTCATCTTCTCCAATGCAGATCTCTGTCTCAAGTGAAAATGTAAGAATTTTGAAGAAAATGATATCTTTTTAAGCAAAGTACAGGTAGACGATCAAATTTTACAAAGATTAGAAACCATGTCACGTAGAAGCTTGCATCAAGTAGAGGTTGTGGGGGCGTAAGCCATATCCTCGATCCACCTCCACAAAGATGTAGAGAAATTTTTCAGTGCGGACACCGGACGATTCAGAGACCAACCAGAACGCTCAATGTCATCCTATACCGAGTGGTTCCAAGCACCGATAATGATCAAAAAAGAAACATAGATCTGCATTGGAGAAGAAGAACACTTTGCATCCATATTCATATGATTTTGATGACAACCGAAATAGAACGACAAGATAACCATTTTGACTACAAGCCAACCCTAAATTTGATGGTATATGTTGATCTACTATCGTTGTCTTTCACATCTTCAACCACCTCAAAGGAGTCCAAATAGCCTAAGGGTTAGTGGCTCTTCTGTTTGACATTGGAAAGCAAGATTGAACAGGCTACCAAATATGCCTTGGATTTGTCGAAGTACCATAGGCCAAACCAATTATTTGCTGTGTATGAACAATTTAGTAAAACTTGACACTTTTCTCTATTGGAAAAGGAGAAAGAGGGAGAAAATATGTGAGTGAGATGTTATCAAGTTGGCCTTGGGAGCGAAAAGATAGATTCAAAAGGGAGTATGAGAGGGGCCAGACGCCCTCTCTAAGGTTATAAGATTTCTCTATGATTTTGTTTGGGACGGCTTTCTTACTGTTTCATAAAGTAGTTATTTAGTATAAAAATTCTAGAAAGCTGCTTTAAGAAGCAGAAACAAAGTTGTCCTAAACGACGCCTATATCTCATATATTTTTATTTATATCAATATATTTTTTCATAGAACGTTAAGGTTTCGTTTGTGACAGCTTTCTTATTGCTTCTTAAAGCAGCTTTATAGTACAAAAATTTCAACTTTAAGAAACATTAAGAAAGCCGTCACAATTGAAGTCTAAATTTATATCCTGATCTCTAAAATTTCATGGTTTAGGGTTATGAATTATCCTGATATATACATGTGAAATATATATTATAATTTGGAGTATAATTTTTACTCTATATAAAAAAAACTCATTATATGTATATTTACGTTTTATTTGGGGCAGTTTAAGCTTTATATTTTTTGCTTTTTAAAGCTTCTTTCTCAGTCATAGTTTCAAAAATGTTTTTCCAAAAATAGCTTTAATGATAAAATTTTGAAAAAAAAAAATATCTTCCAAACACATTATTTTTTACTAAACAATTTTTCTTATTATAGAAGCGGTCAAAAAGCAATTTCAAATAGCGCCTTAGGGTTTGTTCGGGATGACCGTAACTTTTGTGAGAAAAATAACTTTTTTGGAAAAGAATAGAGCTCTTCATGATTAAATTAAATTTTACCTATTTCTTAAAAAAAAAATATTTTTAACAAATAATGTTTTCAATGAATTTATTCTTAATTTTTACCTTAATTAGTAGTTTCCTACCTACTCGAATGATGAGCATTCCCTTTGATAAACGAACAAATACTTAAATTTGTGAGGTTAGGGCCGTTAGGCTTGACTACTTCAATTTGTGACTTTGTGTTGTTTCCTTCATTAGTTTTCTTTCCAATAATTTCCATTTTGCCATTAACGTATAAATATAAAGATATTATTGCATTGTTCGTAAGTCATTACCATATGAATAAGTTATACAAAATTACAAACACAATTATTTCAATATATGCGTAGAATTGTTATGTAAAAAATATTAAAAAAATACTATTATAAATTTATCTTTTTTTCAAAAAATAGGATGAGGAATTTATTTATGTTATCATATTCTAATAAATTTGATTGTTTTATATCATAAAAATATGACATTTGAAAAAACAAAATTAGTAAAAAATTAACCCAAATTAAAATGTAATTTTAGTTATATAATTAATATTAAGAAATTATTTCTTAATATAAAATTCTTCAAAAACAATAATAAGAAAAGTATAACTAAAAAAAATATAACAGTTAAAAAAAAACAAAATTATATATTTGTTTTCCAAAATCAATCTTAAATGTAATTTTATTATATATTTGCATAATAAAATAAACTTGATTAGTTGTAGTAGAAATTATTTATTTGACGAAAAGGTGAAGCAATTAAAAGTTAAATAATGGATTGATTTGTTTGATTTATTATTATTTAATTTTGAAGCAGAATATTTCAAACCGAGTGCTATGCATGTACTTGCAAATTACTTTAATAATTTTTATATTTTAATAAAAATATATTTTTAGTTTGACATAATCAACATCCAATCCTTGCTTTGCCACCTCCCGTGTGGAATTTCCAAATATTATATATTTTAAATTAATATATAAATTATTATGTATTAGGCTCATTTTAATTTAGTGATTAATTTTTTGTCCTATATATATATTAATGTTCCTTATTATAAAAAGAAAAATGACTAAAATGTTTGATTTTATAAATTATATATTTATAAAAACTTTAAATGGATAAGAACATTTGGTTGTAAGATAATAGGGACAAAAGACTCTTAACAAGAAAATAATTAAAAAAATAATTAATGTAACATACCTAATCATAAGAGAGCTAAAAAATTGCAAATCAAAAACCACAAGACTTTGTAATTCTATGGCTGGCCAATGTACTAAGTAACCAAAAAAGGTATAAATAGTCTATAAAAGAAAAAGGGTATAAAGGTTTTGGTATTTTATATATATATTATATATATATATAATATATATATATATATATATATATATATATATATAATATATATATATATATATATTTAAATAATATTTTATAATTTTACTTAATTAGGAAGACATATGAACAATGAAAATGATGATTAGAGGATTTATTAAAGTTTTGTTTGGGACAGCTTTTGGTGACTTTTTTCAAGAAATTTTGTGATAGAAAGGTGTTGTAAAAAATAGTAAGAAAGTATTCCAAACGAAATCTAAGAAAGACATATTAAATTTTTTAAAAGAAAAATAACATAAAAAAGAATAAAA